CCATAACACGCTATCTTGTTATTTCTTATAGACGCCATATTGAAATTTTTCTAAATAAGATAAAGGAAAAAAAAGAGAAAAAAATAATTTAGAAGAAAAATTTCAAAATATAATCTAGTAACCTGTGGATGCATGTAAAACATTTAATTTTGAAACTTTTCTTACTTTTCTAGTAAATGAAAGTATATAGAGTGTGACACGTCAGTATTTTTCTTTTTTTGTCCTATACGATATTCCGTAAAAATCCAATATGGTGTTCATCAGAAATAAGAAAGCAGTAGCCTGTAGCTTCTACGTTTAACGTGTTATCGAAACTCTGATAACAGATTCAGAATCTCCAAAAAAAAGACACCCTAGAAGGTGCTAACGGGAACAGTCAATTTCCGACCGTTTAAGCTAGGGAAAATGCAAACTAAATTTTACATTTTTAGATTTTTGGTCATATCTTTTTTTAAAATCTCAAATGCGTTTTTTTAATCACAAAAAGGACACAAAAAGGACACACTGTATCTCTCACCGTTACAGAGATCCCAATTGTTAGCCTCGAATTTGAACCACCCTGTACATCAACAATATTTTCTTTGTTTGACAGATTATATTTAAATGCTCTATAAGAAACCCCTGCTTTCTAAAAATTTAAATCGCATCCTGTTTTTAAATGACGTAATTTTTTGAATAGGTACATACTTTGCCTTACATCTAGGTACAAAATGCACGCTGGAAGATTTTTTTGTTCTGAAAAGTTTTCCAAGGGTCTGCAAGGTATCTTGATAAATGTATTACATTGCCAAATTGCAATAATAGAATTTACTGTCGGTCCCTAATTTGACAAGTCTCTGTAGCTACTAGTGAAGACCATTTTCAGTAGGTATTTAATAAAAGAAATTCTATACAATAAATCAATTTATATGTCTTAGTTTTCCTTAAATTAATTCATTACGAGACCATCATCCAAATTTGATTTATATTTATGGTTATTTCTTTAAAGAGAAAAGTGCTTTGAAAATGATTGTAAAATGGTGGTATAGCTGGGGGTACGGAGGTGCATCTGCATACTAAAGCTAAGGTAAGACTTCCATTAATTTTTCCCTTGCCTATCGATATGGACGTGTTTTTGCAATTTTTTGATTTTTTTTTATCATAATTGCAAATAGTCGGTGATTCGTTTTCAAATGAAATTCCTGCATGAGGTTACCTTTGACAATTAAAAGGTGGGACATTATAGTTTCGCACCTACACCTCATCAGACCCAAGTACCTACCCAAATTCATTCGCCCTAAACTCTAAAGGTGGTAGCGAACACTCAAATACACCGCACCCTCAAGATTTTCGTGCCTAATGATTACAATTATAACTTATATTTCGCAATTACGAACCGTTAAAGTGCAGTAAACCAAACTGTCCTAATATCGAGGGTTGTTTTATCCGCGCTAGAAGCCGGATACATGTTTTTAAACCTTTTCCTTATCCCCTACGCCGTTGTAAAATACTTGGACCCTTTTGTTCCAATAAACCCCTTAAGCGGTCCTTATCAAGCGGTGTCAGTTTTCTTTTTAGGAAAAGCGAATACGTATAGTCGAACTATAACTTCCAAAATGCGGTAGCTATTAGTTTAGAAATATAGGTATACTTGCGATTTGCGTTGGTTGGTTATTAGCGTAATGTAATGTACACGTGATTACTAAATGATAGGGTTGCACCCCTATTCTCAATTTTAATGCAATGCATTGTATACGACCATCGTATGCATTTAACGCGCTACTATAGTAAAAAATTATTTGTAATTTTCTTATGTAGATAATGCCCACGGAAAGCCTTTTCCATAAGTAGGTTGACAATTGGTTATGTTAACCAGTTTATGAATGCGACATTTCTGAATAAAGAGCCCGTTTGCACTACTTATTACTTGTAAAATCTTGAAAATACGGAACAGAAACTCGCTATCAACTTCATGCAGCCTTATTATATTTAAGGAAAGTTAGAACATTTTCTTATTATTAATGCCTGCCTTGCCCCGGTAATTACATTTGCATGACTTGGTGGAGAACTGCTATACTAGAATTAGGTAGGTTCATATCTGCTGTAATTCGCATACGCATCCTACCAGTCTTAGAATGTGGTCTATGATGTGGCATATAAAGGGTTATATTATAATCAGTTAACAATTCATTCATCACAAACAGGCTGAAGATTCTGTTGGCTTTTTTCTTAAATTCAGAGAAAATCAGAAACGAATAATTTTGATGAAGATGAGTCACAAAATTTTCTGAAAATCTGATAAATATGTTTGTTTTACTCTCATTTTTTAGCAATTGAACACGGAAATAGTTATTAACGTCATAAGGCCGATATGTAGCAAATAACGGACGTGGTTGAAGTTTGTAAACCGAGGCGTCAGCCGAGGTTTATATTCAACCAAGTCCGTTATTTGCGTATCGGCCGTGTGTCGTTCATGATTTTTCGTCATCCCATCATCTGGAAATTATATATTTTGACTTGATAAAGATCCATCTTTTCGCAATAGTTAAATATAATAATTATCTTGATCATGGTATGCTTATGGTCACATGTTGGCGGTTGTCATGGACGCAACTACTTAAAAATAAACAATTCGTTACAAACGCGTGCTGAGAAGCTGTACGACGTTTTTCCAAAAATATGCACGAATTTGAAGGAAATATCAATATTCCTCCAGACGTATTAGCAGATCTCATGGCTGCAAGTGTCGATTTGCTACCAGAAAAAACAGGAAGCGATATCATAAAGAATACGGAGATTTCAAGGAATGGCTTAAGATTAAGAGGATCAATTTAGTAAATGAAGTTAGTGTTATTAGCGTACGTAAAAGGAAAATCGGAAATGTACTCGTCCAATTCATTATGGACAAAAGATTCGAAGCGATTAAAAATCACCAAACAACTATTTCAAAGTTCCGATAGAAACGCTGAAATTATAACATCCATAGCCACAGCTTCTTCATCAAGTGTAGGTAATATCCACAGGTGCTAGTGGTCTTCAAGTTTCCTACGATGGTCTACAGATATCTAGCAATAACTGTCACTTTAATTTTCATATCCATTATTAAAATAAGTTGCTCTTTTGGATATTTACGAACTATTCTACAACAAAACATTTAATGGTAAATGGATGCCTAAATCAAGGATAAGTATGAGGCAATTTTTACCCCAATTCCGCAAACTCTTACCTAAATAAGAGGGCGATGGTGTAACGATGGGATCTATACGAAAATTTATTTTTTTGTTTAATTTTAATTAGGTACCTAATTGTTTACTTTCACCTTAAAATTATATGTTAAATAATTACGTACCTACCATAAAAGAAATTGCTAAATGATTTGAATTATGAATTTAATTAGAAAATACAAATTAAGAAAGCAGATTTGACAATTGACATGCACCGCATTGTTCTACAAACAGTTAAATATTAGATAAAATTACGTGATTATTATACAAGAAATATGTTAAGTAACCTGAAAAGCACAGTGCATATGAATGATAAATTGCGAATAAGTAGGTATACATCGCGCAAGTGATAACGTTGCAATTTGAAATTTTGAAGTGAGGATAGTAGGGGACATGTTGTTGGATGCAACAAATTATATTTATATGTTCACATCGAACCTAAAATTCAACAATTTGGACATTCAAAAATATCTCTGGTTTGTTTTCAAGACACCGACCTGTATCTGTTGTAAATCGCCCATTGGACTCTGTAGACTTGTTCAGATACTTATATGAATATATTTCATAATACTTCAAAAATCAGAATTTGTTTACAAAATAAATGGTAAAAACGTAGTGTGTACTTGGTCATGGTGTGTTAGATCATGTTATCCTACTCGATTAGTTGTAGATCTGATTGATTGATCTTGGATCAAGAAGGAAATACTTTTTTAAGGCCGGTTGTACCTTTGAAATTAGTGGATACTGAAAATCAAACAAGAATGAAGAAGACGACGCTTTGGTGCAAGGCGAGTTTCAGTAAGTTAGGTATAGTTAAATTGTTTCTAAATCAAGCACAAAATTTATTCACTTTTAACTTCTAATTTAATTAAAATTTTTATGATTTTTGCAGTATTGTACGTAAACGTACCTACCTAAATTCTTCAGAAAAATATAAGCAAGGCAATTGGCACTATTTTGGCCATTTACAATTTCCAGCTGCTGGTTAGGCAACAAACATGCCACCTTACCGAAGCTATCTGTATGTATTTGCAAAGAAGTGCCTGCGGCAAAAGATTAGAATTGCGTATATGATTTTTTAGAAGAAATGCTACTTATAGAGTACCTCTCGTATATGCTAAGACACAAGAACTGCAGTCTACACAAGAAAGAAAGCAACAGATACTGCAAACAGTCGGACTGTATTAGGTACTTCCTTCGGAAATAGTTAAACCATAGAAGATATACTGTGACCATAAAGAGAGAAACGTGAAATTAGAGGACCCTCCTTTCTCATATAGGCTAAGCCACAAGAGCTGCAGCACGCACGAGATGAGCAAGCAACTGATCTAGTAAAGAATCGAACTGTATGAGGTACTTACTCCACAGAATAGTTAAATCGAAATATACAGGCAACAGTGATAGTAAATTTCCTTGTGTAGGTAAATCTATATTAGCACCCAATCAAACATTTTCAAAAGTGCTTCGAATAACTGTTTAGCTACTGAAAGCTGCATTTAAATACTTTTTGTAATGATTATGGGCAGCTTTGATCTATAAATATATGGATGGTATGGTAATAGATCGTTTAGCTTTGTATAGGACCCATACTCACATTTTTTAAGAACTAGGACCGCCATTTTAGTAATCAAATCAGGGAACTAGATTAAATTTAGCAAGATATACCTTTATCAAGAATTTTATTGGTTCTGTCATCACATTCGTGAGGATATGAATCTACAGTTATTACACTTACACTCCTTTCCCGTTACTTTCTCTTTGGAGTAAAAAAAAACAACAAAACCAAACAGTTAGCCATTAAGTAAACAAACTATGATGGTTTATTTAAGGTAAAGGGTGATTGTCTATAAAAAGTTAAATAGAATGCATGCTTTGATGAACACTACAAAAATACTTTCAAAATTAAAGATGTTCGATTTAAATTTAAATTACAATACACAATTAAAGAATGATCAATGATGAATGCAATTTTAAAATCCTAACTTAAGGGCACTTTCGGTCTATTTGTGCTTTTCCAGATTCCTGGTACTCTTGCATCGATATCCACATCTGTTGAAATGTTCCTATTGAAGCTAGAATCGAACCTCCGACCCATGCGCCGAATCTACGTTCAACTGTACCATTTGCAGCTATCATCTTCAGTCGCATTGATCCAGGAGTACGTGATGATAAATCTTTTCCCAGGCGTTCACTAAAACCCTAAGACGAGAGTTGAAGCGCTAAGTCCTTCTGCAACTCACCTGAACCAATGAATTGCCACCAGTCAGCACAACAGAGCTGTATAGGGCTGGCCTCACGTCAACATCACACATTCCTGCACTTGTAGCGGCTAAAACCTCACAATGAAAACTCTGATCAGCTATCAGCTATACTTTTACAGATACCTATATAACCAGCTCCTAACATAGCATGATCAAACAATCCCTCGGCCAGCTTAAACCGTTCATAACCAAAATCTTGATGATACCCTGTAGGAAACTCGTAGTTAACTGTTGGAGCACTAATAGCTATCCTTTCGTCATATGGAGATTCTGATACCTGTAGGACACTTTGTTGAAAATCCTGAACGGTTTTTTTGACCATGTAGACCATCCAACTGTTTGTAGGAAGAAAAGACACATTCTTTTTTGTATACTTCGGCTTCTCTTTATCCCGTACAACTTCTTTGGAAGAGATTAATGCAGTTGGTGTAAGATCAATTCCCAACCCTTCGAGCATTTCTCTGGATCTCAATATTAAATAATCACCACCTAATGGCGATTTAACTACAGCATTTGATATAACATATCCATCTAAAACAGGTACCGCGGTAGTATGAGTTGCCCCACTATCGATAACTAAAGCTGTCGATCTTCCATTTGCAAAGGCGGCCAATGCTGCGTTCTTTACTAAATAAAATGCAGGCACTTTGTATTTTTCGAACATTAACTCTGTTAACTTTTCACGTTTCTGGCGCTGATTCCACGGAGACTCGGAGAACAATACTGGATGATACTCGGATGCAGACTGGATTATCTAAAAACACGCATCATGTGACAACTACTGAATTGGGAGGATATGTACCTTTTCATAAGAATAGTCCACAACTTTCTCAAAAAAATCCCAGTTTTCTATCATACCGTCCTTCATATAACTGTGCAATTCCATACTGGGACGAGGTGTATGCAAATAAGTTGTATCAATGTAATACTTCCACGCTAAAACGAAACCGTTACCACCAGTGTGTAGGTGAATGAACTCACGAGATGGTGTAATTGTGTTGCCTTCTTTGGTTTCCGGTTCAATTTTTGGAGAATCATTTGGCGCTATTCCGACTATAGCAGGTATCTCGGCTTTAGGGGTATCCTCTTGGGCATAGCCAACTCGTAGGGAATGATGGCCAGGATCGAAAACCAAGGCACCTATCTCGTCACCCCCATATAACATTCCCGATGCGGACATTTTACACTATTTTCAAAGTATAATTCATATAAATCTATTAAAGGGTAAATAAAAACAAACACGGTTATAAAATTAAACACAAAAGTGAGGTTACGTCTGTTGGTGGAAGCGTCTGTTCTATTGCCATGTCTCATATCTTGAGGTGAAATGTTTCAGTGTGGCAACATTGCATTCTGCACGGCTATTAAGTTGAGGTGGAAAATGAGTAAATGCGGTGGAAACGTGGTGAGATATTGTCCCACTATCCCGCCTAGACTACATAAGTTAAAAATGTATTTTATTTGCTTCCTGCAATTTGCCGATGACTCCTTCACAACAGAGATACCTATGGCTTCATAAAAAAGTAGTAGCAACTACCTGTATTAGGTTATTGAATAAAAATTAATCTTTTATTCAATGATTAGGTCAAAACCAAATTAAGGATTATCATTTTTTGGGCCTCACTATAAGTCTTCTGCTTTAATTCGGGCAATTTAAATATATGTTCCTTTCAGATATTTTACTTTCTTTTTTAAATGAATAATTTAACAAATCACTTACAATCTATTTCAGACATATTTTGTATCACAGAAGAAGCTAATTACAATTCTACATTACGTTTTAAATTTACATTAATTGCCTGTTGACATAAATCTAATAGGTGACCAAAGTACTCGTCATCATCGACTTTAGCTAAGTTCTTGTAATAACTTTGAAGATGTGAGATTAATGTTTGCAGTTGAACATTACCCGACATATTACATACACGTGAAGAAATAATAGTATTGAGTGTCTTTTCGACTGCATCATGATCTTCAACATCTATACTCACAATATTCCTTAACAGAGTCACCAAGAACGGACACCACTTTTGATCTTGTAACTTCTGCCTTAAATTAACAGCATTATATTGTTCAATCTTCTCCAAATAACTTTTGTCCTTTAGAGCACCATCATGTTCAAGAATTAAATCATGGATGAGAGTTACAATTTTCAGCAACAATTTCATGTTGTTCGACTCTTGTAGTAGCTCTCCAAAGACATTTAAACCGGCATTATCCAAAAATTGTCTCTGAGCTAGGGGAAAACGTCGCATTAATCCACTCAGGGCGAAAATGGCACGATTTTTAATTGTCTCATCCGAATTTAACACCAACACTTTCAGTAAAGTTCCAATTGCGCCGGTTTCAAAAGCGTGAATTTGCACTTTTGCATTGTTCTGCATGGATGAACCAAGTAATTTTAAGGTACCATCTTTGATGTCTAGATTAGTGGAGTTTAGATTGGGGTAGATGATATCTGCGAAACCGTTCAGGGTAACAAAATCATTGGCATTATCAATTTGATGCACTAAATATTCCAAATCTTCTATAATTGACACAATCAGCTCCTGATGTTCCTGAGTTGTTGTTAGTACTTTATGATAAAGCATAAGCTCTTTGAGTAATTCGCCATCGGTTTTGGGACGAACATCTAACTTACTTAGATCTTCCTTTAATTCCTCGTAGCTTCTAAATTTCTTTTCCGCTTGTTCCTCTGGAGATGCATCGTTTTTGATATTTTTTAAAGCTTCTTTCAATTCCTGATGAGAATATTTTAAAGGAGCTTCATCTTCCGAATTTGAATTTCGCGCGTCAGGAACTTGAACTACTGCGCTTGTTTTATCCGTAATATCGTCTTCAACTAAAATTTTTGCCTCCCTTACGCCTGTTTCAAAATTGACGCGTACATGAAGGCCCTTAGGAATTTTCTGACCTGTTGTAAAGATAAATTTTGTAAAAGCATAGTTAAAAGCGTGAGAAAATACCTTTTTTGATAACCTGCCACTCGTACGTTGGCACAAATAAGTCATCCTCATCGTTCAAATTTTCCGAACAATTAACGAACGTATTTGCACAAAAAGCTGATGATAATGTAATACAGAGGATAATTTTAAACATTTTCGGCAACGCTTTTTGGGTATAACACTGTAATTTTCGCTAAGAAAGTGTGCACTGAAATTCATTTTATCTGGGACTATTTGATTGGGCCACGTTGACAATCAAATTGACTGTCTAAATTTTGGTAATAATTTCTTTGAAGGTTTGTCTTTGCGTAAATCGCTAATGTTTTTATTTAATGCGAATAATTTAGTGAGCGAAAGGGCGTTCGGACTTAATTTGGAAATTTCAGTACGAAAATGTCAAAGAATTTAGTGGATTGAAACGGGTTTATTTTGGTACAAACTGCGCCGCATGCGTTGTGCTTGGTAACTCCTCCCCAATCTACCCGCCATTTGCCCAGCATCAGTCTTCAACATTCCCAAGCTTTACCGGCTTCTAGTCACGTGTGTATTTTATTAATCCGTGTTAATCTCTAATAAATAATGGCAGATGAATATTTTTACGGTAAGTATCGTTCATTTTTTTACATTCTCCACGATCCTGCGTTACGATTTTTGTCAATATTTGCGTATTTACACCGATTGCCTATGATTCATTATGAGACCCGGTGTTTTACGCGCCATTATGCTTGTGACAATGTTTATTTCTTTCAGCGTTGACTCTCAAGGGTGCCAAGGCGACAGAAGTATGGGATCCTGAGGCAAAAGGAGCTGAAGACTATCAGGGTGGCCACAAACTCATAATTAAACAAGCACTACTAGGACCTGAAGCTGTGGATGGTGAGACGAACGTTATACAAGTTGAAGCAATGACATGGAAAGAATCTATCAAAGTACCCGTGGCAGTTTTAAAATCAGGCAGCAGCAGTCAAGTTTTGTTAGATTTATCTTTTCCCGATCCACCAGTTACGTTCAGTTTGGTACAAGGCACAGGACCTGTTCACATCATCGGACATCATCTCATCGGCAGTCCCATAGAGGAGTTCGATGAAATGGACGAGATGGACGATGATATGCTTGAAGATGAAGAGGAAGGCGAGGAGGGAGCTGTAAGTACTTAGTTGTGGTAGCCGCATGTTTCAGTGTGTATCATCTTTTTGGTTTCTTGTTCTTAATTTTGTTGGGCCCTCGTTCACAATATTGTTACTTGCTCCTTTGCAGGAGGGGAATGATGTAAAACGAAAGCGTAAATTGTCAAGCATCGAAGAAAATGAGGTGTGGATGGAAAAAAATGTTGCCATTTTCAGTTAGTATTATGAACCGTTTGTTTTAGGAGGAAGACGAAGACGATGATGAAGGCCCAAAGAATAAAAAGGCCAAGACGACCAATGCAAAAGGAAAAAGCCCAGTGAAGAATGCAAAAAAGAAATGAAGAGAGTTTTCTGTTTGTTTTAAGTAATTTTTTCTCATTCGTATTTGTATTTTAGTTTTATGTACCGTGAATTTGATTAGGATCGCTTTATAGGATTAGTTGTGTAATTTCTAAGCAAGTGATGCTAATCAGAGTTCGGTGTTACTAAGGTTAAATTTCGTACCATGTAAAACGGTCACAACTTGAGGTATTTCGATTTTGTGTATTCACAGTGTTAGTAAATTTTGACAAGTGTAGGTATTTATTTTTGTCATAATCCTATTTCCTATGTAAATACATAACTCTCATTAAAGTTTTTTCCTAAAAACTTTATTTTGTGCATAAATTTCCGTTAATTCAGTATTATAGAATATCTGTAATCTTTTTATAATATACCTATTGAATAGTGAAATAACAGTTGTAAGGCTATATCAGGCATTAGTTTCAAACATTCTGTAACTTTCATATCCCTAATTTTCTTTTAATTAAAATATGAATTTTTTCATTGATGTTTGTCTTGTAAAAGTTGCTTAAAAGGGACACCGGATTAATGACGGAGCTTGGGGGGTGAAGGGGTACTCTAAAAATTAGTAATGCGCAAAGGCATCATCTTATTCACATTTGAAGCGTTTAGAGTGAACCTCGAACATAATCAAAGAAACAAATAATATTTGACGAGTCTCTTGATCATCATTAATCAAAGAAACAAAAATATTTGACCCACCACTAAAGTTACACCCCTCCGATGTGACTGTACTGATTAATGTCGAATTTTCTTGTAAAATTAATTAATGTATAAGCGGCAAAGGGGTAGATTATCATTCACGTTTGTAGGGTTTACAGCCCAACCCTGGAACATAATCAACCAAACGAACAATTAAATTTGACGTACTGCAGAAGCAGAAGCTCCTTCAAAGGACCGAACGTACTGGATAAATTTCCTTCATTACTGTTTCTAGGGTTTACAATGAATCTCTTGAACAATCAAAGTGTCAAAAATACTTAACCCATCATATCAGGGGTTGTAACATGAATCGACAAGAACTGCGGTATAGCACCGGAACCGATATTTAAGAAATTAAGATAATGGAATCCAATACTGGTATATTTATTATATTGTCGCCAAAGAAAAGGTATTATTCAGTTCTTTTTCTGGTGGCTGGTATAGAGTACCTATCTATATCTATACCTACCTAAACACGCTACGCGCTTTGTGAAAGGGGAATCCGTGTTATATTGTCGTTTTTAAAGTTTGGTCATGACGAATTGTTTGTATTAAAAACATTTCTAAACATTCTACTGATATACCTACCTCCCTGATGATGACCATCACCAATCGATGCCTTGTAGAAATCTGTTGTGAAGTATAGGAGTCTATAATGAATTATATGAAGAGTGAAATTCTTTTAATGCATGTGCGTATTCGATGAAACTCGAATTTCTGGACCCTATAGGACAGATGTTCAATGTACAATCGAACCCTGTCCCTGTATATACTGTCCATTGTAGTCAGTGAGCAAACGAGTGGATTATCCTTCCTTTAATAACGTTTGCGACAGTTCTGTCATTTATTAACTGTCAACTATGACAGTTTTGAATTGCACAGATTTTTTTTTCAAAAACCATGCTGTAAAGTTCACTCACCTCACCAGCATAGAGATATGCGTTCATGTAATTGTGTAATAATTTAGATGACGAAAGTTTTGTCTAACTCCAAATTGTCTAATCCGTCAAAATTTATTAGGTAGGTGAGTAGTTTAAGTTGGATTTACTCTGATCTTTTCATTCGAAGGAAGGTGCTTTCACGGAATAACACAGATCAAGTTGAGCCATCCACGAGCTCTGACTCAAGAAATAATCATTACGACCAGGAGCTTTCCAGTTTAAGGGAGCAAGTGTCGATCTTGCAATTAGCTGTAGATAGTATGCAAGAGGATGTCGAGAAAAAAGAAAGGGCATTGGTGAACTTGGAAAAAGAAAAACAAGAATTATACATTCACTTAAAAAAAGAAAAGCGATCTAGTACAAATTTAAAGCAGCAATTGCAAGATGAGCGCGACTTTTACTTTAAGGAAAAAGAGCACTACTGTCAGGAGATGAACGACTGCAGAAAATTAAAAAAGAAGCTTAGCGAATCTATAATTACCAAGCACGAAAAGGAGACTAACGTCGAAATAAGGCAGTATAAAAGTCAAATTTCTAAATTGCAGGACGCTTTAAATCAAACTTTGGAGGCGAATTACAATTTAAGCGTTAAATTTTTACGTATGAAGAACACAAAGAGCAATCTTAAACATCGCTTGAAGCAACACGATTTGGATCATCAAAGAGTAAGTCATATCTAATTTGATAATACTTAGTAAAGTAAGGGTAAGTTTAGGCAATGGAAGACTTAGCACATCAGGTCAATGATGTAAAGAAAAGTTTGGAAGAAATCACAGACAAAAGATTTACGTTGCCAATTTCTCCAAGTAACCGAAAATACTTGCAGGTGTGACCGGCCGACAGTCAATTAATTTCTTCACATTATCATTTAAGGTAATTAAAGAGAATGGACTACTGATGTATGATAATATGTGCTTAAAAATGGAAGTTGATCGCCTAACCGAGAGAATAGATCGAATGAAATACGTGCAATCTAACAACGATTTAAAACAGAAATACAAATTCATCAGTAGGAACGCGGCAACACAAACCGGGAAGCATCACCCACGAAATGATCTAAATTGTCTAGAGCAAGAGAAGGCCGATTCTAAAGTGATTAAAGTTTTTGAACGAACAGAAACGTTGGGCACACCACAAATCATTATGTTAGGAAACGATGCGCCGGGAATTCGCACAAAGCTGGAGGATGCAGAACATAGAGCAAATAACTTTGAGCAATGCTCTTCTACTAGCTCTAGCTTTCGTGCCCAATCTGCACCAGACATTATTTAGTCCTCAGTTAATTGTAAGCATTAATAGATTTTTGATATAGTACGCTACTTAGTGTTTGAATTACTTGCTTACTTATCCAAGGTGGAAGGTGCGCAACTCGAAAGTTGAACTTTCCCGCCCAAAATGAATTTAATTAAACCCCAAAGGCACAACGATTGATATCTTCCTTTAAAGAAGGATATACTGTGATGCGCAATTATCTTAATTTTCTAATTACAAATAAAGGTAACAGTTTACCATTAAATTTCTGGCGCACTCTTAAAACTGTACAACAACTCGCCGACATTCCCCGGCCAAGATTAGACCCTCTACCCCTACAGATGGCCTTAAGTTTGCCTCAAGCATGGGGTAACTTAAGTGATGCTGGTGGCGGACGATTCTATAAATGGAGGCAGTACAAATAGGGTTCATGAAGGTACGCCAATGGCGATACACAAATTTTTTGCCCATATATTACTTTTGACGCACTTTGTGTATAGTCGCATGTTAGGTTATGTTGTTCATTCCTGTTTGAAAGCAAAGGTTTGAAATTTGTATTGCTGTTGTTAATCCAAAAAGTGTTTTGGGGTTCAATCTCTTTTAAAACCGCTTTCCAGTTTTTCAATCCCAGTGATGAAATGAAAATGAACACTTTAGAATCTGAAGACTCAAAATCCAGCGATTTCTCTTCGACAGACGAAATCAGCCTATTAGTAATCATTCTAGACACCAATCCAGGACAGAGAATCTTAAGGGACAATCCACGAACGCTCACACAATGTGTGGATTCTGTTATTGCCTTCGCCAATTCACACCTAATGCAAAAATCACAAAACAAGCTCGTAGTAATGGCATGCCATTCGAAAACCAGGTGTGTTTACTCATTTCAGAAGAAAGCAATTTTTGAACCTACTATTTTAGCGAATTTATATACCCCAACAGCGACAAGCCCTTAGATGTTAGACAAGTCGATGGACAATATGAGATATTTACATTAGTCGAGAGAACAATTAAGAGGAACTTGGCCAAAATGATTGCGGCCGAAAGTACAGCTTTGTGTAACGAATCCTTGTTAGCGGGTGCTATATCAATGGCCCTGTGTTACATTCACAGGATACAAAAGACAAAACCTGTGGGATGTAAGGTGAGTGCCTGCTTTAAAGAATCACTTTGAGAATCATATTTTCAGTTGAATAGCAGAATTTTGGTTGTGACTGGTAGCGGCGATTCTGCCTTTCAGTATATGAGTTATATGAATGTGTTTTTTACCGCTCAAAAACAAAATGTTGTCATTGATGTTTGCGCTTTGGATCAACATTTGAGTCTCTTACAACAAGGTTGCGACATTACAAGTGGTTTGTACCTGAAAATACCTCAACTACAAGGGTTGCTTCAATATCTTTTGGTAGGTAGAGCTTTTCTGCTTGCAGCATATAACAAAACTCAACTTTTCAGTGGGTATTTTTGCCTGAGCCGCCTATTAGACCAAAGTTAGTCCTTCCTCCTCCAGTTAAAGTTGATTATCGTGCAGCGTGTTTTTGTCATAGGGAAATGGTTGACGTGGGATACGTGTGCTCTGTTTGTTTATCAAGTAAGTGAATTAAATTGTTTTTTATACTCACTAAAACTGATACTCGCAAAACTCTGCACTTCATTCTATACTTCTAGTTCTGGTTCAAAAAGCAATTAATTTTCCACTAACTGTTGCCTGTACAAGCATATATCTTTCTTTTGAGTGTAGAGGAATATATTTATGTACCTGTTTCTTATACTCTTGATTTGACTATTTGTTCGTTGGTTGGTGGCATGGCTATATTCAATATTATTAATCATGCACACTTGAGTTATGAGTGCAAGGAGTGTAGAGGATTATATTTACTTACCTGTTTCTTATATACTCTTGATTTGACTGTTTGTTCGTTGGTTGGTGGTATGGCTATGTTCAATATTATTAATCATGCACCCTTGAGTTATGAGAGTGCGAGGTTCGAACTTTTGTTCGCCAGTCTCGAACTTTTAAGTTCGCCAGTCACGAACTTTTAAGTTCGCCAGTCTCGAACTTTTGTTCGCCAGTCTCGAACTTTTGTTCGCCAGTCACGAATTTTTTAGTTCGCCAGTCTCGCAGTCACGAACTTTTAAGTTCGCCAGTCACGAACTTTTAAGTTCGCCAATCACGAACTTTTTAGTTCGCCAGTCTCGAACTTTTAAGTTCGCCAGTCTCGAACTTTTAAGTTCGCATTCAATGTTCATCTCATCATTTAAAAGTGTGCACTTAGAACAGCTTTATTTACTAGTAAGTTTTGTATCTAAGTTTGCTATTTTACAGTTTTCTGCAAGTTTAGCCCTATTTGTACCACATGTCAGTAAGTATCCGTTCTGATTGATAATCTGTAGATTTACACCGTCTGTTTCAGTACCGTTTTCAAAATACCAGGACCTTTAGCCGTAAAGTCGAAAAAGAAGAAAATGAAGCTGTAGATGATTTTATATAATAAATTTTAAATAGTAAAGGGTCTTATTATTTCGCTTGATGGTCATATAATTTGTTTAATAATCGACTGCCTCCTAATTAAAACTGAAGTAGAATAAACATATAGATGTTCTCTGCACTAAACTTCTGAACTGCTGCTTTCCCATTATCTTCCAGTCTTCCTATCCAACAATTGCAGCTTAGAAATTTTGGCTAATATATACCACGTAAATTTCCACTCTCTTCTACACTACAGTATTGTAATTTGGGGAGGCACTAATTTAGTGTCGTATGTATGCATTACTGAAAAATATGCGGTTAGAATTTTTGTCAACACTAGAAATAAATACGAAAACAGGTATCCGGGTCGCACAATGGGTTCGAATAAACACAATTAATTGATTGACAATGACAAAATTTTAATCCAATACATATGAAAAGAAAATTAAACAACATTCCTGAAAGACATATTACACCGCACCCAAACGTTCGACCAATAAAATAAAATACATATTAAAATTACGTAGTTTTTTTTCTCATTTAATGGATTGGTCGTTTAAAAGGTTTGCGATAAACAAGGCGAACTTAATTACACACACAAACTGCTTACTTCTCAACCACTTTCATTATCTTGCTTTGCACAAAATTATTACAATGATAAACTATGTCTTCCACGAATCAAATCGAAAATAAATAGCTTAAAGAATCGTACATGCTTTCCAACCTTCGTTGATTTAACGAAACATCACTTCCACAATAAAATAATCTCCTTCCTCAAGAACATTACCAATCATAATTAGACTTAATAACGACAACTTGATCGACAGAACGCGTCCCCACTTACGCCGAAAATAGCGCGTACATCTGCATCTCCGTTACCGCTAATTAAATCTCGGCCGATAAAAACCCTCTTAACGCAAACAACTAGATGTGCCTTCAATTTAAGACGTAAATTCGCGTTTTACAATTAAACTAAACAAATCTAAATAAACAATTTGTAAAATAGTACGCAATTACGAACAATTATGAAAGACGAATTCAAAGGACACGAAATAACTTATTTTGGGTGTATAAACCGAAAAAACTATGGTTGTTCGGTATAAGATTTTTGGATTATTTTGCAATTATGAAACTATACAACTCAGAAATAATTTAACATTATAAGACAACAAGAAAATTAAATGATTGCAAACACAGAATGAAATAATTAAAAACGAGTAATTGTTTTTATGAAATAATGCGCGCACTTGCGGAAATCTTCAGAAATGGTTAAGAGCAGACTTTTGAGGAGATGATAAATGCGAAATGCTCCACGCCGGGGCTGGTGATTGCAGTCGGAACTTTTTGCAGTAATATAAGTACTACTATATCGTTGTAAGTTCGTAACGTCGTCGAAATTTCCCTCATTATGGGGAGCACGTCGTCGTCGATTGTGGTGGCGTATATGACATCTTTTCGGCGGTGCTCTTCTGTGATCTTTTGAACTTTTTATTTACAAATTCAGTACATTATCAGTCAAAAGCTCTTTGACTACATGTCCATGGTCTTCACTTTGCAAGAAACTGTTTTAGTTGTCCTTGACTTCTCACTTTTCCTTTAGTATGAAAACTGAACGATAGTGAAAACGGCAAAGAAACACCTCAAAAGTGGAAAGTCAATTACGGTTCATGTCGTCGCACCGATATCTGCAATCAAATAGTGGGAGAATTCATAGATTTGACGATGTCCGATTGACTAACAAATGCAGACCCTTCCTGACTCTTCTCAGACTTGAACTTCTTACAGTCCCGCTTATAATGGTCTAACTCGCCACATTTGTAACATTTTGGAACAAACTTCTTTGACTTATCGCCACTCCCACCACCCTTACAGTAACCTGATGAGATATGTGATTAAATAAATAAAGAAGTCTTGCACCAATTGAATGGTAAACAGTGGTAATTAATGATACAAATGAAATGTAATTTAATATTGCAAACATGACATTTTTCAATATCTGTTATTTATGTACCATCATCTCATAGCAACACATTCGAAATCATTAAGTGCTGGTTATTTGATTTTTCTAAAAATTTCTCAATAAGCAAAAAAAGGTTACAATTTAAAAAATGTGATTGTAAGCGTACTTCCCAAGTAACAAATTTAACTGAAAAAAGTACTGTGAATTACAGATAAGCAGTTTTTGTAATTTCACGGCAATTGATTGTTGGGAGATGCACATCGATAAAGTGCAATAGTAATTTTCCTAACCACTGAGCCATAATTGATTTTCACTTACATTTTTTACAAACTGCCTCGCAATTTGTTGGTAAAGCGCTATTGATCAGATATCTATTACAGTGTAATGTATTGCTTGACAAACCAAAATGAATATTTCATGTTTTTTTAAAAAAATAAAGCAATAATCAGGACGCTAAAATGCACACAGGGTGTTTCTATATCACAAAACGGAAACCTCAGAGTATTATAAAAAATCACGCAAAATATTTTCAAGTGGGTGGCGCTAACGTTATACCGTAAGATGATACTTATTTTAAATTGAACACCCTATATTCAAAGTAAGTTTTCCCCTATTTCTATAACTGCGTCTTTAATAAGGGCAACTTTGTATACTTCAAAAATGTTCAGTGTTCGAAATGTGGACAAGTAAACTTCTCTGAAGTGCATTGTCCATGTGCAGTGTGCTCAAGGTCAAAACCTGCTTGGTTTTTAAGTGGATTCTATGCACTGTAAACACTCCAACGTATTTGAATATAACAATTATCTGTGGTCACAAGAGGATAGTGTCAACGAATTGCAATAATCAGAATATATGCAAATTTATTTATTTACAATAAATTTATAGTTATATTTGATATTACCCTGACTAGTTAATCCTTTCCGAGTAGTTATCGTACAAAAATAATTTTAAAGGATACTTTGAATTGGAATAAAACAAATATTTGTTCCTAATACTATAGCTATAAAAGATAATGTACAGGTTGAAGTGGTACCATTCAAAGTGCAAAGTCTAAGAATAAAATTTGACTCAGTCTTTAACAATATCGAATTGCTTAGGAAACTACTCAATATCTTTCAAAGTGAACAAATGACACAGGGCGTTTCGTATCGAAATAAACTTTAAGAGCACTTTTAAGTACTACTAAATTATAATTAAAAAATGCTACTCTGTACAACTACAACTATGTCATATATGTAATATCACATTACTTTGGGACAAACCCCAATGAGTTTTGTAAGAAAACATGCTTCATCGTAACGTTGTAAAGAAAACAGAGTAATAATAAAAATACTGGATATAAAGAAATGGTAAATTCTTTTAACAAACAATAGGAATAAACACAACTGTAACAACGGCAACTGGCTTTTACTCTAAAACAACTCCTACAAAACCCATTATACATATGCCTAATATTAACGCCAACAACTGTTTGAACGATTCCTTAGGATCTTCCTCTTTTAAGAGATCTGGAAGAACGGTTACCAAAGCTATGTGAAGGAAGGTACCTGAAGTGAAAGGTAAAATCCACGATGTTCTGGCTTCTAAAGCGTTCGACGCTCCACTACAGAAAATCGACACGAGCGCGCCGACAAGTCCCCCGCCCGCCGTAAAAAGCTGCCCTTTCGCTGCATCCCATCGAGTAAATCCCGACTTTAGCAGAATCGCGAAGTCGCCGACTTCGTGCGGGACCTCGTGAACTAAAATCGCGAACGTCGTGAGACAGCCCAACCTCAGCGAGACGAGGAACGCGCCGCCCACCGAGAGTCCGTGCGTGAAGTTGTCGACGGAATTCGCCAAGAGGTTGAGATACCCGGTTATCTGCAATTTAATGGGTTAAACTGCGAAGTGTGGGCTGAGGTATTTACCCGACTGCCATCCTTTGAAGGTTTCGGGCTGTCGTAATTGTTATTGTTGATCGTTTTCGTCTGTTGCTCCTCGATTTGTTCGTTTAATTTCGTTATCACTGAGAATACCTTTTCCGCTATCACGAACGCCATCAGTCCGGAGAGTACCAGGAGGCCATTGTACATGGGTGAAGCACCACCTGAAAGAAATTGGAGCAATTTAAATATTAAACAAAAATACAAATAGATAACTTGCGTATTACGCCACCGCATGGCGTTGTAAGCGCATGAGAACTGGCGCCATCTGGTGAACAACCCGATTCCTCCAACATTAGGTTGGACCACAGGGTATACAAGAAGAAAACGCTGATGCAATGAATTTAGAGCACCGAAGTAGAAAATACGAGCATTACGCAATTCTCTGGTTAGCAAACCACATTCTGTGGATTTAAAATTTCTTTTGATTTAAAAATGTAATTATTGCGTCATATGTTTTGCTTTTGCGTATGTATAAACACGATCAAGGTTATAGTTCGATTAGAAAAAATAATCGATTATAAAAAATTGATTCTGTAATTATTAAATTTTGGAAAATTTAAAATTGCAATTAAAATGAATGGAATTGGAATGATCAAAAAGCAATAAAACCAAAGAAGCAAAAAGAATTGCGACAAGTGATGAGAAGAAAAATGTGAGCATAAGAGCGGTTTCAAATAAAACCTGCAAAAACTCGTGGGTTGTTTAGAAATCAATAGCGAGAACGATAAAATTGATGGTATAAAAGGGGGAGCCACCGAGATATTGATTTAAAAAAATTAAAAAGTAAGCTTTCGTAACTACATTCACTATGGTGCAACATAAAATATGTTTGCCTTTCCTGGATCTCCTATGCAACATATCACATTATTCTGAATCATGGATTCACATTAAATTGAGATAATAATTGACGGGATACCCCTATAATTATAAAAGAATAAAGTTCAAAGTGATGCAAAGTAGCTATATCTTGCCGAATAAAGCATGGGTATCATGTGTTCTCTGTTGTTACGTCATCAGCAGTGCTAAATGTCTAAATTACAATCCGTTGCAATTTGTATTATCCCTCAATTTACGCCAAGCGTTTGATAAATTCAATTACAAAGACGCTGCCTTTGTTGAACGGAATTGCAGTGCGCACGAATAATATACACTTACCATTTCTGGCTGAGTCATTTGCCCAAATTTCCGGCAGCGAGTGGAGAAAAACGTCCCCCAAAAGTCCCCCGACTGCGAAACTGAGAAGCGTTTTCAGCGTATTCGCGCTATCTGTAAAAAAGAAAACGCTTTTATTAGTTTATTACTAAAGGAAGCGCAATCATGTGATAATGAGTTATAATCGTCGCTTTTGTTTGCTATTTCAATAATAATAAGATTTAATGCGTCGCTAATTCATAAAGGTTGGGAACGGATGTGTGGAAATTCCTTGTCGAATGTTTAATTCGTCTGATTTAGTTTCGATACATCAAGAGTGCTTTGTGACCTAAATATATAGTAGCTATCACCGCGATGGCGGTAAAAATATAAACAAATAGCCAGAAAATGATAAATTCCTGCATTGAGATTGGTTACTATGAGGTTATCATCCATCATACACAAAAATAACCATTTTTCTGATCGTTCATCCATAGTACGAGTATACACATTTTCATTTAAGTTTTTTTTGCTGATAACAATTGTTATTGGCGGTGATAACGTTGTTTTCACCAGCAATTACACACAAAGATGATGAGGCGGAAGATTTTGCGCTGCACTGCCTCGGAATATGCATTAACCTCTTGTACGAGTGCGAACGTTTTATTAATCCAAGTATGTATACGAATTCATAAACATGTTTCTACCACGAATGGATCTTCACTAAGTATCATCATCATTTGTTCCGTCATTCCCGTATTTAAAATACAAACAAACATGGCTGCTTTGCTTCAATTGTGCAACGCCCGTGAGAGTAAATGAAATTTATTGTGACTTATCTGCAAATAAACCTACAAATAAACAGACCTTGAACCTGAATGACACGTTCAATTTTTTTCAGTCTGGACAAGATAGTACTTTCGAAAATATCTCGACAAATTAAATTTAACACTGTGTCAAACAAGCATCAACAAATGCCCCATTTTTCAAGCACACGTTTTAATTTTTCGTGAAGAACTATTATCCCCTAGAAAGTTATAGATCAAAATACCATGGGAGGTTCAACCATTTTTTCGCAATTTCCTCGTAGGTCGGAAAAAATTATTGAAGCTCTTATGAATTTGATCTGTTGTGTGTATATCACGTCCATTTTGAAAAATGTAACTTTCTATACGATAATTCAGCTTTTCACAAAAAATTAAAATATGCATTAATGGAATAAAGCCGGCCACTTGTTGTTTAGTGTTCGATTTGACACAACGCGCTTAATATTATATTAAATAGAGCACACCCTCAGTGTCGAACCTTCATTCTATTGCGTTCCATGTCAGTTCGGCAACCATGCGAAAATCGATCTTGAAAGAGACAGATGCACTAGAACACAAAAGCAAGAAACGAGGATTTTAATCCTGAACCCTGAACTTGAACATACATTTAATCATTATTTTTTCGTGTGTCGGCTTAAGAAATAGGTTTGCTCAAAATAACAAACTGCTGTTTATAAACGGTTCATCTCTTCACCCGAAAATTACGAAGCATACACGTATATTTTGAGATAGATACATAGTATAACTTAGGTACATAAAACTGGCAACGTTGTGCCTGGCGCGGTTTTGTTTCAACGGATGAGTCATTTTCTTGCAGAATTTTCTGCTATAATTTTTGGTTTAACACAATATGGATACATCTGTATAAAAGGTTCTATACTCTATAGAATTCGAGAAAAGTGGTTTTCTATGGAAACAAATGTATTGATATAGGTCATCTGTAATATAACCGAAATATGAAAGACCGCGCCGTAAAAATTTACTCAAATGTAACAGGGGAGGTACGGGAAGGATGCCTATAACAGATGCTGCAATGGGTGTAGAGTTGTAGACCCATCCCGGGTGCATAGAATAAAAACCGTTCCAACATTTTCTAGCTCAAATTCAACTGTATTTCATTTTAAATTCCACAAATCCAACCACTAATTTAATTCCATAATCATCCTGATTCAATTGAACTAGCAATTAAAAGCCAGCCTTTGCCTGACTTGTAAATATACCGTGTGTAAACTTTGGCAGAATTGGTGGTATGAATATAAAATTTTGGCGGGCGCCCAATTTAAAGTGCGAAGTACTATTTTTCGACACTGGAAATAACCTTGAATTTCGAAATTGAAATGCTATAATTTGTCATTTGCTCTTTTTGGGTCAAACTTAAAATTGTAGTTGTCCAAGTTTGAAAATATTCGCTTAAGAAATTTAAAAAATGGCAATTTTGGAATTACCATATATTTTCTTAGTTAAAAAGAGACACAATTTTTGTTATAAAAGTTTGTTTATAATGATGGTTGAATAATAGGCCGTTTTCGAAATAAGGGGGTTCAGGTAAAAAAGTTAGCGCACCTAACCTCATTTTTTAAATGGAACACCCTGTATAATTTAATCTGAAAAGAAGTCTCTTAAAAAATAAAACACTAAAAAATTCAATATTGATTCAAAAGATTTAAAACAAAATTTCGAGAAAATTTTTTAAAAAATGCATAAATTTGTGTGTATTTTTTTAATTATTTGAATGTTTTTAATCACTTTTTTGAGTATCATCACGAGCCTAATATATTTTTGGAAAGAGAATTTAATATGCTATATTTTTAGATGAAAATATACAGGGTGTACCATTAAAAAATTAGGTCCATAACTTTTTTACCACGCCTCGTATACTTATTTTGAAAACGGCAGATTATTAAACAATTATTCCAAAGAAACATGTATAAAACATTCTTTACTTTTAACTATAAAAATATATGGTCTTTTCAAAATATGCATTTTTTAAATTTTCCCTCGTATCTCTTAAGCGAATGTCGATTTTACCATTTTAAGTTTGACGCAAAAAGAGCACATTTGACGCCTATATTACTTTTTTTGATAGCACCAACAATTGCCGACAAGTGTCGAAAATGGGACACCGTGTACGTATAAGCAATTATTGAATATTTAAAAGCAAGTACGCTCCTTTATGTTTAATAATTATTTTATTAACAGACTAAAAATAGTCTTTACTTAGATCGACCTCGTTGTAAATATCGCCTTTTCACATAAACAAAACTATTGACCTACTAAATTGGCTGTTATACCTACACGATAGTTAACGAAAAATCACTTAAAGGTTAAACATTAACTTTTACGCAAAGAGGTTTCGAAGATGAATCCGAAGACGAAGCTAATCACATCATCAACTAAACAAATTAATCACTAGCGTTTAATGTGCTACCGGTAATATTCAAGTGCCAATTAAATTGTGCTGAAATTAGCTAGCGACTGGAACGTTTAATAATGAATGTAGGAAGTAGAATGAGGGGGTGTTGGAATGGCGGTTAATAAAAGGACGTTAAAATTTAGTATGATTGAAATAATACGGCTCAAACTTGGAGCTAACTGTTTTTAAAGTCCTATTGTATTTATTGTTCGCGATATCAGCTGCAATAAAACGATAACAGATTCGGCCCCACTGTAGATCCCTGAGAGACGTCCACAAATGACCAGTTTCATCTGTACTTAGACAATACTTACTTTCAACGTAGTTTGTGCGCAAAAGGTCAAGTTGAGAAAGAAATGTTTTCAGCCACCTGTGAGTTCGTGATCAAGATTCACCTTTACATGAGAGGGTCGGGTCATTCATTGTTTATTTGTTTTCCGTTGGCAAATGCAGCATTCCCCATTAAAAAAAACCTCGAAAAAAACATATCGTGACATCACGTTGTTCTAAGCGAACAGAAACGATCCATGCTGTAAAACTATCACTACAATGTCAGCGTACTGCTACTGAACATGATCTTGACAGATAACAGTGTATAATTTTCAATTCATAGCGATTGATTATCTAGAAAATACCTAGAAAATGATAAAGGTTACTCAAGTGCGGCGAGCAATTACGTAAAAGTCACTCGTGTTGTTACCAAGCAATTTTCATCACACTTTCACGTTCTTCCGCCAGATGTTGAAAACATCTAATGGCAAAGTGGCACCATTTGTGAAGCTACTATTAAAACAAGGTAACATGTAAAATACGAGATGATTTTGTCTACTGAGAAGCGAAGATGTATTTAGCACGATGGCCCAGTTAGTGAAGCGGAAAAGTTTTCGAAAACAATCGACACCTGACTATAGCCGATGTCCTCCTCACATTAACCTGAACGGAAGAACATGCATAAAATAAGTGAGGAATTTGGACATGAGAAGGAGAAAAATGTAGGCATTTTATTCCAGACAATAAATCACTCATTGCAGTTCCCCGTCTGACCGAGCAAAGTGGAATTGCACCTTGAAAATGTATAATTAAACAAGATTTGAAAAGATTCCTCGTTTTGTAATCGAATGTATTTAAACATCAATTGTTATCTGAGGCACATTTCAAAAGCCATGACCTTAACCTATAACCCAATGTTGTTGTATTTTGCGGATAAAAATTACGTCGTAGACACTGGCGTGTGGATTTAAGGAGAGTCTATGTTCACTCAAACTATTTTGATTTTTAGTTTTTCTTAATGCCCATGTTGCAAAAGTACTATCGGTGCGGCGATAAGATTGTTTACAGTGCACCGGCGTATCTTGCATATTGAATTTTCCAGTTTGTTTCCATTGTTCGATAAGATTTCCAAGGTAATTGCAACCATGGTTGCTTTGGGAATTGACACATTTTGAAGGTTATTTCAGTTTGTCGCACCATATAGTACAACGACATAAGCTCAAAAGTTACAGTATCTAATTTTAGAAGGCCATAGACTACTAGTGGCCGAGTTCGAGGGTGAGCTGAGTTAATGGTATAGTCCTCGGTATAGTCGTACCTTTTCAAAATCAATATCAGAAAATCAACGCGAAAGTTATGCGCAAGCGTTACGAGAAGTAACGGCGTATCTCCTGCAAATATTTTTACCCTAAATTTGACCAAATTGTTATCGTGTCAATTTCACTACATCGCTATTGTTTAACAATAAAGTCTCGGAGGTTAAATAGACTCGCCCATCCGCATAAGGAACTTAATTTTTTTAGTATACTTAACTAAAACAATGAGAATGCAGAACGTGCTAAGAAATGCGATATCTGATGAGTGATTGCTAATGTGGATGACTACACCTTCTGGACTTTAGAGCTTCAAGGCCTATACCTTTATTGAGTTGTTTGTATCCGAGGTTGCCAAAGGTGGTCGTCCTATGGTTAAGCTGTTTAAAATCTTCATTTAATTTGCCCCCCCCCCCTTCCTGCCCAAATTAAAATAAACCTCATTAAGTCATTACACATTTGCTGCGTTACTCAAAACTGTTGCTAAACAAATTAAAAATCATAAAAACGATGTTCGTTTTGTTTTCTCGAATTTAATACGATTGGGGAGGGAGGGGGAGGGGGACTTTATGACAAATTGACTTCATCCACAATGGTGCACAGAATCTGAATTATTTTTTTAAAATGGATCTCTTTGGCTTTTCAACTGACATTTGGTCGGAATCCTCACATAACTTTTCCGAACCTAGAATCCAGATCGAATTTATTATTCAGTAAACCTTCCAATTAGCTTTCCTTCCCCCATTACTGCACAAGAAAACCCTCCACTTCAGTTAAACCGCCTTTTGAGAAACGTAAACGCGCCCACTATAGTGAAATAAAAATCGCTTCTCTTTAGATGTCAAATTTCTATTCCATTAAATGTCAACAGGCTTAAGTTTGGATAAAGTAGTTTAGGAGAGTTGTTTGCATCGCTGTTATTTTCAAAATCAATACCGGGAATATAACGCGCAATTTGTGCGCATGCGTACCTTCCTATTAGAACCCATCATTCATTCTTCCCATACAAATTTCTCAAGATTTTGATGTTGAATACGTTGAGATAGCTATTTGGAAGTAGAATTCAAAATTGCCTTCGGAACTACTCTTTGTGCACATTTTTTTCTAAAAAAATAAACTTATTCGATACCATTCATTTAAAATAATTTATGATGGTACCACTGGTCGATTTGTTGAACAAAATGGATACGGTGGTTATTTAAAAATACTTCAGTGATAAGTTTGAGGTGCATTTTCCTTGTATATGGCATTTACACAACCCATTCAATTTATTCAATAAATATATCACCATACAGCCATGTAAACTATTAAAAAGAGTTGCCAAAGTCGATGAAAATACGGCCGCATGTGCCCTTGATGATGGTAAAAAAATAAAAGAATTCAAATCATATTGAATCCAACATATTTTTGTTCCTCGTGATTTTTGAGGCTACTCAAAAGTTCGAAAGATTACAAGAGTCTAAACATGAACAAAAATCAGACAGAGAAAATAAAAAACCAAAAAAGTCCACTATAGATACATTTACAAAACAATTCAAAGCTTTGCGCTATAGGATCGATCTTTGCAAAGTCGCATAAAGTCTGTGCAAAATCTTGGGGTTGGGGTTAGATTTTTTGCTTTTTTTACATTTTCATTAAATCTTGGACACTTGAAACCTCTAGTACTATTTTCGACCGTAAAGGGGTAACTCGGATCAACGTTAAAATCATCTTATTCCGTGATTTTGAGACATCGATTTTAGTATGAGTATTTGACGTAAAGATGCTCTAAGTAAATATGATCTTCACTTTGTGAGTACCTTCTTTTAACACTCCGCTTTCCAGCACACATATTTCCGTTGTTAGGAATACAATCAAGTGGAATGCGGTTTGTCACACCTGTCATTTTCTCTTTGAGAGTACCGAATTCAGACACTCCGTTCGGGAGATATTTTGACTCCATCAACAGATGAATTTTTTCAATGTCTTTTCTTTCTGTGAGTACTTCCGGCATTGCGTTATCGAAATATGACGCCTGACCCTACCGACAAGTGTGTCTGCAATATACTTTCCATCTGATGTTCGTAAATATGTTTAGTTTCTTTTATCAAAATTGAGAATCGCAAACCCTCAGACGGGGGGACGGAATTCACGCAGGTATAAGCTGAAAAATACGCGAACAATTCTTCGGAAAACCACATACTTCAACGCGAGATAGTGAATATGCTAAAAAGCGATTCCCTTAAAAATATTCAATGGTTACCTTACTTTATTTTCACTTCAAACAACGTCTAAAATGCGCATAGTGTGTACATAAATTATACCTATGAAACTGTAACAAAGCATGCCAATATCCTGGATTGCGCATGCGCATATTCAAATTTATAACACATTATTATTGCAGTTGACTCGTCTCCATTATTCTCTAATGGCAGTAAGAAAGAAAAAAAATAAACATTTAATGAAGCCTTCTAATTTTTAGACCTATATCTCAAATGGTTTGAGCGTGACGCTAATTGTATTATTACTTATTAGATCTCCGGAGATCCTCGAATATCTTCGTATATGTGAGGATCTCTTCTGGGAATAAGCAGTTTATCGTTCGATGAAGAACATCAGTAGCATCAATTGGCTGAACTGAACTAACTAAAGTAGTATGTGTTGTTCTCAGAATTCTTGGAAGAACCACATTAATTGATAGCATATGACAAAGACGTCATAAGAAAAGATAAGAAAAGGAAAAAAACATTTGTTGCTCCGGTGATCTAAAAAATTCTTCATTGTTGGGAATGTGAGGAGTTCATTGAAAAGGTGCAAAAAATAAAACATCTATAAATGGATGTTCACCAACAAAGAAAAGGCTACGCATGCGCATATTAGCGATCGAAGTGCGTACAGCGTAAGCGAGATATTTAGCGTTATTGAAATTCGGTTACATAAAATAAATGTGTCTATTGTTGATGCTCAAGTCACCTTGAACTTTAAAATGCATAATAAGCGGACATTATTCAACTTTTGATTCCATAAGCCAATCTCGCACAACTCAAAAGGTTACAAGCGGTTAGATAGATAATTCTAAAATAATGCGCAGTTACACTTACTAAGGCGGTAAGGCCTACGACGCTGACCATGCGCAATTCCGCTGACTCTTTGTTTACAAAATTTTGGAACTGTAGCCAATGGCATACTTGAAAAAAGTGTTTACATAAACAAAGGAATCTGTCGCGTTACTATTTTGGTTGAACTCCTCTTCAAGGCGCAAATGCAGTGATAAGTGCAAATGTTCTGCTTCCATCTCTCGACTTTGTAATAGGTGTACTTATCCTAATTGCATTAATAGATATTTAAGTATTCGGCTTATCGGCCGATAAAAGACCTCTTAAATAAAGAAATAAATTACTAATAATAGCCCAAAAATATACTTGAAACATACCTCCTTGTTGCAAGTTCTTAGTCTCATCTATGGATATGACCAGTAACGGAAATACACCACTGAGTCCTATTAAAATTGAGCCGCACATGGCCCATAACCACGGTAATTGGAGCCAATCCTCGTGCACTTCCGGTAACATCTCCAGCACAAATTTACTATCCATGTTAAAAGTTAACTCACTGAAGTTCCCGCCTTGCAGATTTAAAACATTTGTACACACTGACATGTTTTCGGCATACCAGAGAACGATAATATCTAATTATTGAGAGTATTCACTCGATATGATAATTTAGTTGGAGAAATTGCTGACTAATCTACTCTGAGATTGAGCCAGCTATTAAAAAATTGTGATTTTTACAAAAAGAACGTTTATAACCTCAACCACATTCACGTATTCATGTTTATGATTACAGTTCGTTTCATGTTCTGTATTTCCAGCTGTGTCCCCACCATTTTATCCCTCTTTGATGCACGCGCAATGCCGCTGTAACAAAGAGTGGGGACTACAATGGTTTTTTTAAAAACAAAATTTGGATAAACAAAACACGTTTAAATTTGTTTACATTTTCGATATAGCAAAACCGGTTTTTCATGGCATAATCGGCATTTTATAGAAGCAATTGCATTGTGGACAAAACGTTAATTAAATACTCGCATACATACTTAGGGGACTTTTTCATTTATAGTTTATATGCCATCATAATACATTAATACCTAATTAAATGTTTTGAACAAACTGCGTTGCTAAAATGTACTCGAAGTTCAAGGACTGCAAAGCAAGTGCAAGCTCACAAAATTGCACGTTTCGCGCCAGAATGTTAGGCAAACCGTGCAACATATCGAATATAGTGTGTCCCTTAATAATGTGTTAAGACTTAAAAATTACCCTGCTGTTTAATTTGTAAAGTGATCTTCCTATTCGTTTTAGAGTCTCGCTATGTTTATTTTGGTTATTTTTCCATTTAATAAACGGGACTCTTTCTTTCACACTTAGAGATTACCTCAATTCTAGTGACTTTTGTAGGGATTTTCATCTAGTGTGATTTACAATCGGCCATATATTACTACTTACCATTGAACTATATACTATATATGGAACGGCATCGCCCGTAATCAGCTGTTGCCAGGGGCCGTGGCGAATTTTTGTGAGAGAGAAATGGATAGAGGTAGGTATCCCTTACCTTGTTTCACGTGCTCTTATGGGATGGTTTATACTACGTCTTACATTTTGCTTATTTTTGCCTAAAATAAGTTATTAAGAGATTTGCAAAAATGGTCATAAATTGTGTTGCATATACGTGCAACCATTTTCATAATAAAAATTCAAATATTCAATTTCATGGGTACGTTTTGATAACATTTTTGAACCTCGACGCGCGCATTTAATATTTTTGCGCATGACGGCATTTGCACCGCTCAGATTTCTTTACTAATGTACTTAGTACCTCACACTCATTTATACTGTGCTTATGAATAATAATTCTTCTTTCGTACTCTTTAATACTATACTGAACGTACATTAGGAGGCGTCAAAGTGTAAAGATAAAATATAAAAGCATACACATATCACACAGGTATATCGCAAAAGTTATAGAGTAGAAAATATCACGGTTTGCATTTTCTGCATCCATATCCATCCACATAGTGACATTATGAAAAACTTTTTTATTTCCCTAGGAAATATCCCCCCAGAACAAAAAACTTAGAAGGGAAACGTAAACGGGAACAACTGAGTACAAATATAATTAGTTTGGAGAACATTCAATAGATGGCGCATAGTTAGCGTTCGTGTTAAAGTTACTAAATCTAGTGAGAACAAAGAACAAAAAACTTAGAAGGGAAACGTAAACGGGAACAACTGAGTACAAATATAATTAGTTTGGAGAACATTCAATAGATGGCGCATAGTTAGCGTTCGTGTTAAAGTTACTAAATCTAGTGACTAGTGCGTGTGCGCCATTATGACAGTTGAATTTTGAATTTTGATTGACGGCTTATTGTGCTTTAAATATAATTACTATTCATTATTACAATGAATTATGCATATACAAGTCGAGAACGTAAATGTTGTGTGACAAATTGTGAAGACGTTTCCCAAAAATGGAGCCGGAAGTTTTTAAGAATTGGTTTAGAATATAATGTGGAAGAAATTTACACAACAGTTTTTGGTTTGTGAACGTCATTTTTCTGGCTGCGCTTTAGAACCTGGAACACGAAGAGATTTAAAGCTTGTGGCAGTTCGCACATTATATTTAGCAGGTAACACTAATTGAATTGTAATAAATTGCTACATATTTTGTTTTTAGAGCGATCTCATCGAGAGCATCATACAGTAGAGTTCCATGAAGTTGATCTTGTATCTTGTATAATCATATTAAATTAAATATAACTCCTTGATTGGATTAATTGGAGTTGTTACTTATAAAACAAGTACCCTGTACTCTTTGAAGGCCTTGACTGGTGAGGTGCATCCGCATTGAACTGAATTCATTTGGATCCCTAACAAACAAAATTGGACTTCACTGGCTGGATTCATTTACCTTTTAGGTTTCAGCTAGTCAAATCCAATGTTATTGTTACAGATCCGGAGAAATTAGTATAATGCGGACGTAGCTTACATTTTAATATTTAAATTTGGCGCCATTCACGCAAAAGCTGCTGAGAACATACACGAGATGGCGCGTCATTTTTACATTACATTACAGTTTCCATTCTAAAGTTTGTTGTTCTATGATATCCCGAAGGATTTGCAGGTCTTGAGTTTTTCTGGGGCCAGTTTCGGAAAATATGGGAGACCTTTTGTAGAAGGTGTAATTCTGATCTCACATAACTCGGCGTAGGTTTCATCTTGGAACAAAACTGGATTATAATTATAAGCAGCGCAATGCCTTATAAACACTCTGGGCCAATTACCGTGGTTAGATGCGCCAGAAACCTTTCGCTGCTCATCAACAAAATTAGCACTTATGCATTACTCAAGCCGCTCACTGTGGATGTTCCAATGGGTATTTGTCCTGAATTCTTCGATACTGCCGACGCCAATTGTAAAATACCTAGGTATTAGGTACCTCCTTGCAAATATGTATATTATGTAAAGGGTTTGTTATAAACGAACACAACCAAAGTTTATAACTTTATTTTACGTTAACAAGCAAATGGAATGCGTCGAGTCACCATGAATGACATTAATTGACATTACACTTGTAACTTCAAGAATCAAGTATGTGAGTGTGTGAGTGAGAAATGGCCCAGTTTACCACATTATTAAGTATATATTTTAAGATATTCCATTAACAAATAGATATTGGCACTTATAAAAGCATCGACAAGCATTTATCTTTATCTTTCTAAGGCCCCAACCTCCCAGTTTATTTACTTATCTGTATTTTTAACCAAATACGTGTGATCGGTCCTGCATATGCAATACAAAACAACGTGCCAGACAAGGATGTGAATACCTACGTTATGCTGGTTGCCTAAACTCATTGTGGCACGCGATTTTGGCCCTCGATGCCGTTCCAGTTACAGAGTATATAGTTCAATGCTACTTACGTACACTTGTTTACACCGGCTTTATGATTCAAGTAATCTCTAAGTGTGAAAGAAAGAGTCCCGTTTATTAAATGGAAAAATGACCATATAACCAATATAAAGCAATTTCAAACGACATCGGTATCAAACGTACCGCATTTTGGTTACAGAGACCAATGTATGTTTTCTGCTTTTTATTGTCAATGGCATTAACCAATCACATTACCTAACACCAGGATCATGATTACATTCAAATCAAATGTTTGTGCAACCGGCCCTTAGTCTTCTATTTCTATTTCTTAATTTCCAAGTGTGGGAAGACCCTTGCACTCTCTTTACATCTTCAGATCTTTGTACGCTTTCAAGTCTTTCTTACATATACTTCACTCAAAGCGAATTTCAATCAGTCCACATCATCCCAATCTTCTTCTAGAATCTAGATCATTCGTTGCAAGCGCACCAACCTGTGCTTTATGCAAAAACTCTCACGCATTGGTTGGAACAATAAAGGTTCGAAAATCGAAAGAGCTGAAACGTTCTTTGAACTGCTTAGGGAAGAGCCATGTTCTCTTACAATACTCATGTCGATTGTGCAAACGGAGACATCATTCCCTTGCATCTCAGGACCTCTTCATCTGATTCTAACTCGTCTGATGCTCAACCTGGTTCCTCAAGTGCTGACATTAGCTCTGAATCCCCTCGAACCATATCCGGATTCGGTACCAACGCGAACCAAGATATTCTGCCTACCGTTAGCGCACAAATATTTGACTCGGGCTCTCGGTACACTTCCGTTCGCACACGTCTATGTCATAATAACGCATAAACGTTCACGATGCTAATGTGATCGTTGCAGGCCTGGGTAATTTTTGATTGAAGATCACTGCTATCGCGGCTGGTTTAGTTTAACAAACTCCGATTCGTGCATTATGTTTAATGCGCAAGCTGTACGCACTGCTTTTTCTTTTCCTTGACACTTCAATTAAAAATTGTCGCCGTATAACAATCGAAAAATGCAATGTCGGTTACATTGCAACATTTTTGTAAGTATTGTTTCTGGCGATTAACCGCATTTGGTGTGATCTCGAATTAATTTGGATGGAGGTACACTTTTCTCTCCTTTTGGAGGCTATGATTGGAATTTAAAGTGGATCTTCTTTAATCACATTGTTATCTCGTGTGATATGTTTAGGATTTTCCCTCATCAGGCGTTCCCCAGGGAACACTTCTTGGTCCTTTTCTGTTTCTCTTATACATAAATGATTTACCGCGAGTGATAAAAAACTCGAAAGCACTACTATTTGCGGACGACCTAAAACTTTTTAATAAAGTCCAATCCCCAAGTGACTGTTTAAATATTCAAGAGGACATTAACTCAGTAATTAAGTGGTGTATCAAAAATAAACTAAAACTAAATATCAATAAGTGTAAAGTCCTTACTTTTACTAGATCGAAAAATCCCTTACTTTTTGGCTATAAGATGAATGGAAAGGTCTTACTACTAGTCACCTCCGTTAAGGACCTGGGCGTGTTTTTCAATACCAACCTTAACTTCAACTTACACATTGAATACCTAACAAATGAGTGTTACAAACTTCTTGGTTTCGTTATCAGAAATACACTCAATTTCACGAATATACAGACAATGCTAACCTTATATAATGCGTTTATTAGATCCAAGCTTGAGTATGCTGCATGTATCTGGTCTCCTTAAACTCTCAAATACTCAGACATGATCGAAAAAGTGCAGAAAAAGTTCATCCGAGTAATGTTTTTTAGGTCAACCCAAAATTATCCACATTTGATCTCTTACGGTACCCAGCTTAATTACTTAAATAGTACTTTCGGCTTAGATATAACGAGGTTAGAAACCCGACGGTACATTGCCTCCACAATTTTTGTCTTCAAAATTTTACACAATTTGTTATACTCTTCCGAATTACTTCAAGAAATTAAGCTTAAGGTACCATTTGTTAAGCTAAGGCAAAATAATACTATTTTTGTAGTTAACAACACAACTTCCCCACTTATTAAGATCTTGATCACTTTAAATAAGTTGTCCTCAGTTAATGATATCGACTTTTTTCACGATCCCCTAAATTCAATAATAAATAAAATTAGATCTTAAGTCCTAATATTTGTTCAGAGCCCCAGTGCCATGTAATTGGAATTTTTATTCTGTATGGTTTCTGGTTAAATAAATAAATAAATAAATTTGAATTTTGAATCGTTGTCGTATTGGTATTATTATTGTCTAAAGAACCCCCTTATTAATTGGAGGTAGGTTAAATTCTTGTGTTCGAAGGGATTTAACATGTGGTTTCTTTACATGGTTTTTGTTTTCGGTTTCTAGTTTCTATTCTACTTTAATTAGCCTTGATCTAATTGCATTTTGACCTATCCGGCGAGGAATGCAGCCGTACGTACAAATGCAAGTTGCAACTCATTCTGAGATACTTGGAGCGAACGTAACGAATTTGGGTGCAGGGGTCGGGGGTTGATACCAATATTAATTTCTTTAAATTTTGAGTTATTTATGAGTGTTAGCTTCAGTAACCTATTGATATAAGGTCGTCATCAAGCGATCGTCATTCTAACTGCCGAGTGGTTTAGTTTGGGTGTCTTGTTTCTTTGTGGTTTAGAAATTTCTTGAAGCGTCGGAAGAGAGTTTCTTCTTTCGCAGGCTAATTCTTCATTAAAAGGTAAGCATTCTTCATCTTTCGAAAAATTTTACCAAGGGATAAACACCACTCGATTCACATCCGCAAAATCGCTTCCAGAATACTTTTTCATAGAATATTCGAAACAAAAAAACCCACTCTTTATAACACTTTCTCAGAAACCCTGCTCTACAAATATTCACCTCCAAAGAATGAAAATTGCTTCCTCCTTCTCCTGCAAGATTCGTCCCAAAAGTATTCGCTAACAAAACCTGCCCAAGAAAATACACCCCCAAGGAAAATTTGTCTTTGCTGGAGTATTCTCGCCTCAGGATACTTGTTCTCATCTTAAAAAAAGTTTACGTTCATAGAACATAAGGGCGATTAAATCTCAATGAAACTCGACCAATTGAATATGATACTTCACATATTGCTCTAATTTCAGCGACCTTGATATATTTGAATTTCAAGACCTAGTGTGTTCGATTTCCAAATAGATACTCTAATTTTGTATAATACTAGTATCAGAATTTTCAGCGGTTCCAATTTGTTTCCTGTCGGCCAGTTTCTCCCAAAGCAAGCCTCGCATAGTCCGGCACCATCTTTGCATTTCAAATATGATTATTTTCTGCATCGCGTGGTCCTTATCACATATCTTATTTCCGCCCAAATACGTAGGCCTTTGTATACTGAACCTGATAAACGCTAGGAACAACCTTATCCGCCGGAAGCTGGGGATATTGTTTACTTTTACATTTTCTCACCTACTTACCTAAGGCCAGTGAAGTGCGGCTACAATCCAGTTGTTCCATAATGGAATATTTTGGAATGGATACATATTTTAGAGTGTTCCAAAGACCGTTTCCCCACCAGACATTGTTTAAAATAAAAACGATCGATTTTATTATCCCGTGTCGGGATTTCGTACATCTACTTCGTACGTATTTTTTTGGGAGAGTTTTAGAATCGCAGTTCTGTGTTTCAGATGAAATAAGTATGGTGTTCACTCTTCCACGTGTAACTATGCAAAACCATCTTGAGGTAAGTAACTAAAAGAAACTTGACAAATACGTTTATCTCTAGAAAGTTATAGACCGGTATAATGAAAACCAAGATAAATTTAAATTTCTCGAGGAGATGATATTGACAGAGCAGACAGACGACAACTCGCCCTTAATTACTGCATTATTACAGTTAAGAAGGTGGTGAGTTTTTAGCGGTGGTTTTATTAAACTTCTCTTAGGCATTTGCAGTTTTTCTTAGAGTACTTTGAAGGTATTTGTAATGACGAACTACTCCAAGAGGATACCAGTATCATTGCTAAGTTTGCATATTCAAATACTCTGGAACCAACCCATGGGTGGTTTCTAAAGCTATGCTACAATGTATGTGCTCAACAGCTAAGACGGTGGTAATTGCCTTTTTTCATTGTAGCTCATGATTTGCTTATTTCCAAAACGGACACAATTTATTAACAAGTTGGGCTTTTCCAAAGAAAATATGCAGGAATTTGTATTGGAAGATATGCATGAGTTTACGTTTAACTTGAGATGTTGTGCTAACTATTTGCAGCATATTTATTTAGTTAACGGATTAGAGGTTCTTCCTCGAAAAAAGAAGATGAAGATTAGTTAACATTTCAATTTAGTTTCCTTTTGTTTGGAACATGGTCAGGGATAGAAGTCTTTTCATCTTTTGATTCCGCGTGAGTTGGCACGATTAAACGTTAGAACCATAAACACTTTATTATCTTGCAGATCTTCTACGTAGATGCGGTTTAGTCCGTAGAATAAAACAAATACTTCACCTCACGATACACTCAAAATAAAACCCCCACACCTTTATTTGTATTTCATTTAACTCAATTATGCGCATAACAAATACAGAAATAAACACTGCCTCCAAATTTCGCCTAGTTTTTTTAGCAATAAATAATTAATTGAGCTCTGCTAAGTAGTAAAAATAAATAATCTGACCTCTTATACAGGAATCCAGGAATTGATTGACATTCCCTTCCATCTTTCGTATGGGAAATCTATAATCCCCGGTTCTCCGCTATCCTTCATTCATTCCGGTTCCCACTATTCAAACACCGAAAAGTGTACGCTGCAATCAGCGTGTAGATTTTTATTTTTATAACCTTGAACTATGAAGTCACCATGATCGCTAAAGCTAAAGCACTACGTAAACTCCGTACCATTACAAAAAGGTGTTGACAATCTTTTTTGAAATGGTACAGAGCAGCCGTAGGAATATTGTATCGGTCTATAGCCACCATTTCAATTTTAAACTCTCATATGTTTTGAAAATATAGGACAGTAATGCTATAAGGTGTATCTATCTCGTTTTTATAGGCTTTTGTATAGGAGCTATAGTCCATGTTATTAAATCGAAATGTAACTTTTTAAAAAACACGAGAATTTGACCAGATGTGTCTTACTTCTTGTTTTATTTGTCGAGTGGTCGTCCGATTTTGGAGCGCCACGACGGCATCGGACTTTTTTTTTCAAATAACTCAATATTTTTATTAAATTATTCTAAAGACCTTATTTTTCTGTGAACAACCTACGAATAAAATTGTGCCAGGTTTTATTACAGAATAAGTGAGGAAAAAAATGTGGAACTTAAAAAACTAAAGAGTTTTGTCGGCAAAACGGTTACTTTGATTTCGTTAAAATTTTGCAAATGTACTAATGTTCATTAGACGTAAGGAATGTAAAACTATCAAAAACGTTTTTTCTTCTATGAGCACCGCTTTTTCCATTAGCAACAACGCAAAATTTATATTAATTATACGAAATACTAAGCAGCTTAGTGCGTTTTAATGCCAAAAACTAAGATAAAATATCAATACGTTTAAATATCACTGTACATGTGTATACAGGGTGGACCATTAGTGCGTGGGTGGAATATTCTGGGTTTATTAATGCACATATTCATTGTCAGGGCATGTTGAAGGACTCTCTACAACCTAAAAATATTTTCAACGAAATTGCAATTGTTATACTGGGTGATTTATATCAAAGTTGCATTTTTTAAATAGAACCTTTGTATATGATTGCATATTTCGATTCCTGGGTCAATTTTAGTGTGAGTTTATGTATTGCTGTGTGTTGATGTTAGACTGATAAGAATGTCAATTTCTCAAAGAAAGTTCAATCTGTGTGGAAAATATATTTTGTATGAATCTTTTAATTAAAAATTAAATCTTTATAATTACTTAACAAATAATAATTTGACACTCGGCAATTGGTAAGCGTTCGCACTACAGTCATCCTATCCGCACGTTCGAAATTTGCTTTGACGATCTCATAGTAACGTCCATCACTAAATCAGATTTAAAGTTTTGTGAGGATAAAAGACTTCACCTTTACCTTATCACTAACGATTTCAGCTTAAGACACTTCACTCTCATTGTGTCAATGGCCTTTTGACTTTTATCTGAAAAACGCAAATTCTCAGGATCCCATCGCAGCTCCAAACGTTCCAATTTTGGGCAATTGCTCGCGATTCCATCCATTAGTTGATCTATTAGCACATTACCGGCCAAGCGTTCTGGAGTGCCCATGACCAGGATTCTAAACAAATTAAATCGAGTTATAGGCGCGGTGAAGTGACGATTGCTCACTTGGCATTATTTAGAATGGGCAAAACACTTTGCCAAAGAGTATCGGTAATATTTGACATTCCGGATAAGCACAACCCTTGAAGTTGGTGGCCATACTTTGATAAGAACTTGTACATTCCATCGTCACTCAAATTGTCTGAGGAGTCTAAATCTAGGGCGACCTTAAAGCGTGCTGTTACGGATTAGTTGCTTAGCCTCGGAAGCGTACCAGATTACGAACGTTCCCCTGCTCCATCCAAGCTTTAAGCACAGAGTCGTTGAAACCGTTAAGTTGGCCAGCGCTTAAAAATCTCAGCCCTGGGAGTCGAGTGAGCATATCCGTTAACGCTTCACTACTTAAATCAGTCGCGGTAATGTCCAACTCTAGAAGAGGACACTTTTCCCATTCAACCTGCATCAAATACTCACTCTGCAAACCTGAAATTTTCCAATTGGACTATTTATTGTGTACATTAGACGCACTTGTTCCGTTTAAAAGCAAACATCGTAGCCTCCTGTTGCGATGGAACAAAATCTTCAACGTGGATCCGGTCACTTTCGAGCAGTAGTTTACTGCAAGACATTCCAGCTGAAACCCGGAGACTGTAGCACACAGAAAGGGCGGGGGAGGTCTTACCTGTATGCAGTTAGAACTGAAGGCGTCAATGTGACTGTCATCGATAAAGTTAATACCATACAAATTAATGACTTTCAAATTCGGAGTGGCCGATTTCAACTTGTGAACGTTGATCACCTCGTACACTTCTTCTTCCTCCTCCTCGACCTTTTCATACGTCCCAACGAGGTGCAAAATTTCGATGCCGTTGATGAAATTGTAAATCTTCCTCATGAATCCCTCCATGAAAATAACCTCCGAAAGGCAAATGCACAAATACTTTAACTTGGTGGGAAATCCTTGAAGTTCGCTGAAGTCGTGCAGCTGCATTGCCGTGGAGAAATCCAGTAGCATATGAGTCAAGTTTGGACATTTATTTGCTAGCTCGTGGAGGACAGTGTGAGTGATTAATTCGATTGGTAGCTCGATGTATCTTAAGGACGGTCCGAAGCGAATACTGATGAGAGCCAGAAGAAATTCCAAGGAACCTACGTGCAGCCCGGATATTTCGGGGCGTAGGGAGACGTGCCTCCAGAGTTTCGTGTCGTAAGCGATTATTCGCCACTTTTTGCAAACGCGAGCCATGCGACATATTTCCCTGTGGCTTAAATAGCTGAAGATATTGAGGAGTACTTTATCCGGTAGCTTTTCAATGGTCTAAAACAAAAAAAATCTGCATTAGGCGTTTATTTTTGACCGTTTCATGTTTAAATATAGTAAACTATATTAAGAAATTGTTTATGCAAGATACTTATGTTTGGCTTTTAACTATTCTATTTTATAAGTCGGTTAAGAAAAACAAACATACCGTAGATGCAAAGGGACTTTTAAATGTACCATCTGCCATATACACTTGCGACCTTTCCAAAGCTAATTGGCTCATTACGTCATCCATTATGAATGTTTGATGTAGGTACCGCACACTTATAAATTCAATTAATTTCGATAAGTATGGCGAAAATTGCGAATTAAAATTTTATATAACAGCGTTCTGAATGGAAAGCACGGAAAATAGAACACATGCGTATCCCAAATATCTGAAAATAACTACGAATATGACGTAGCATCGCGGTAAAAATCGCGTTACCGATATCTTTCGCTAATAACGGTGCATTTGAATTATGCTTTGCAGAATCTTTGAGATCAGAAGATGCGATTAGATATACGACACGATATACCTACTGCAAATACTATTCCTGTTTTATTCTAAAGAAAAACCCTGGTGGTAACCATCCTTTAGAAATGTGCAATTAAGATAATGAAGAAATTACTGGACCTGACCGTGTATGAGTGAGGAGTAAAAAAAATTTGGCGACAGAAGGACCAAAACAAGCATTTTTTTCAATGTGTTTTTTTTAGAAAATTATGTCTTCAAAACACGAGCAGAATGAACGCGTTTTCAATACGACGCGACGTGGTTCGGAAAACTTATGCTAGGCAAATACGCATTAATATTCAGTCCATGTGGTTAATTGATAAGGCAGAAACAAAAGGAACTGAATACATTATTTTAAAGGACCAATTCTCTGGTGGACGTTTGTATGATCAAGAATTTCTTGAGCGAATTTTCAGGGGCGGGTTTTTTTTACAATCATCCTCATTTCGACCTTCTGCAGAGGCACCTCTAAAAAGCATTATGCACACTCTGTAATTGGGCACAAGCCTGTTGAGGGTCCAGAACGGGGGAGGGATAATGAAAGGATAAATGGATAGATAATTGTATACATACTGAAAAGTGAACGTATATACGCATATAGTAGGTATATAGTTTTGTTAAGAAATTCTCCCTTATTATTTTTTGTTACTTATCTTTTACTAATTCGTTCAATTAAGGGGTAGAGCAGATGGTAGCTTTCTACCTGCCTGAAATCGGCTCATCGAGTTGTGCACAAGCATCTTCTTTAGATTACAAGTAAAATATTCGTGATTTCAACGAAACTTCCAACAGATTCCAAGAGAATGTGACAGTTCACGGAATATTGAAAGCTTTCAGGTTTTATTGGTAGATAAACGAACGTTTTTCAAATAATTCAAGTGTCGCAAATGTTTCGTTTGGTATGTCCAAAATTGCATTTTTTCTCGAGAACCATAAGAGGCACCCAGAAGCTGGCCCTTTCCCATGAAACATTTTTTTAAAATTCCTATGCCACACGGTCAAGTTTTAGATTTCGACATTACATCTAAGTCACACATTTTGAATGTTATTTTATCCCCTCAAATGCTGGGGGTACAAAAATTTACCATTTCCGGTACAAACTGGTAACTATATGGGACAACAATTTTTGATGAAATGTACCTCCAAATGCACTCTAAATTGTCACATGAAATAAAAAATCCCAAATGTTATTTGGATTTGTATGGATGTCATGTTACCCCTCTTGTAATAATACTTACCATCCGACCATAGTATTGTAGCGAATATTCCAGAAAACTCGATAAACGTCGAGGCGCCATTAAAGATTAGTAATCGGCGATAAAGAACTAAGGCGGATGTTTCCGCGAAATATGACGTGCTTGTTCGAGAACATTCTAGAAGATTCGGAAGCATTCGAGGACATCGAGATTTTGTTTGATTCGGATTCCTGGTACTTCAAAACGTGTATTTCTGTCAAAAAAGTGGGGAGAAGGGTCATTTTTTACCCGAACGCAATACCTTCCTTACTAACGTGCGGGTGGGTAAAAAAGAACCCCTATTTCCCTTGGTCACGCAATAACTTTAGAACAACTTTACCGATTTTATTCATCTTTCTTTTTAAAGTTGGCTAATACTGTGTAGAATTCTTACGGAAATAAAAACTAAGAAAATTGCAGAAAACTTAACGACTATTTAAACACATCAAATGAGATTTTTCTCTCTATGTACCGCTTCATAAGGAAAGATAACAGAAGTTATAACCTAAAGTTGCGTTCCGTTTTGCTAAAAGCCGACCACGTGATGAAAATGCCGGATTCGTATTGGTTAAAAGGGTACGTTTTTCACAAAATTTGCGGTCAGAAAAAGGGGTTCGTTTTCGTATTTGGTATTCGGCGAGGTACATAAGTGAAAATTTGGTCGGAGAGCGGCAATCTTACTGATATCTTCGAAGAGAATCTATGCCGGTCGAACGCTACCTTTTTCAATGGCGTATTGATTGTTTAGCCGAACTTTCGGTGCAAATTTACAGGAGAATTAATAGATCGCGTAGAACGTCATTATTAATTAAAAGTTCTACCCGAAAGCCGTATAATCGCAGTGTATGGTAGAATAGGTGGCTTCGCAATGAACGTGGGTCCCTTCTAAATTTGTTACGAGTTTATAGAAGTAACTTAATAATACGTGGTTAGTTTGTACATGTACAGAAAGAGAACTTCTTTGTGTGATGGAGCAGATCGCCCGGCAGATTTGTTTTATAACTGTATAATATATAGCGAAGAATATTAATACGTGAGCGGGGTCTAAATTACAGACTGTTTTTAGAGGTATTTAGAGCGGCTAGTTACAACTAAAATGCTAGTTTATGAATAAAATTCGTAGACCTAATTTGTTAATAAGAAGTGCGAACAAAATTGTGAACAAAAGGGCTACCGGTAAAAATGTTAAAGACAATTAATTCAAGTTTTTCTTATAACCCTAAGTTACAAAGGGTACGTTTTTGACACATTGAGGAACATCGGTAATTTATTACCGCGAATAACTCAAACTTTATAACTAATTAAATCAAAGGAAGGTTTGTTCCTGAATCAAATTGCGTCTTGTATTGCCCAAGGCGTTTCACTATCAGATTTTGTGATTTGCGAATATTGCGGATCGAATTTTCCGAGGATGAATTTGCCTGAATGCGCCGTTTCTTGGAGCGTAAACTTTCGAAGCTAAATTTACTGTGGCAAATCTGGTCACAAAAGTGTGAAATAGAAGGGACTGATCTCGACGAGCCTCGAGCGTTTTTAAATGTACACCATCCTTTGGAGAAAGTTCTGATCGAGCGATACTTTCCGAACTAATATTCCAGAAGCAAGTATTCCGGAGTGAGTCTTCCGTGGGTGGGTTTTCTTGTAGGCAAGCAAATTTTCGAAACTAAATTTACTGTGGCGAATGTTGTGACAGAAGTAGAAGGAATAACTTTATTATTGTATTCATAGCACTATTTCAAAGGGTACTCTTAATCTTTGTAATCAAGCTGGTTTGCACATACATTTTCCTGTGGAGCAAGCTCCTGACAAGCCAGTTTTCCAGTGATACAGAATTTTCCTTGTACTGCGAAAAGTTTCTAAAGCCTTTATACAAGAGTTTTTTTAAAAGTCTCTCTGCGGTTAATTTTAGAGTTCTGTTTAAGCTTCTGAACAACCTTTGGAAGACGACTAACTTAATATCAACGAACTACAACACACAAAAACACGGACGTTGTATTTTTTGAATTTCAAAGTTATTCAAAGATTAATCGTTGAGTACAACAAAAGGTTCATATGCAAAGTAAAAACTTACCGTTTTCTTAGTTTTCCTAAAGCTGCTGTTGAGATCATCCCTCACGATAGCGGTCGCGATATCCAGAGTTCCCCATACATCCATATTTTCTTACAAACGAAAGGAAAAAGAAGCGCGTCCCGAAATTCAACTTAAGCGGTAATTGACAACTATCACCTTGCAGTTTTCATGCGCCAAAATAGTCTACGCTGCGTCCGGGTATTGCCAGACAGGATACTTGAACCCGAATAGAATTAAAAGACTAAAACTAAACATTCTCTTAGAAGCTCAATTTTGGCACCGGCCAACAATGTTGTTGCAGAAAATCGTAGATTTATGAAAGATGCTATCGATAGTTAGGTATTCGTTACGAATACTAGCTCTACTCATGAGAAAATAGTGTTTTTTATATGTCCACATAACAATATGTGCCTTCTTTACGGTTTATAATTAGACCAAGCACTAAGCCAACCGATAATGTTTCTTTGAATGTAATTGCTCATCAAGAGGGTTATTAATTATAGACGGTGGGTGGGTATTGATCGCCTTGAATTCAGACTTTTTTTTATTGATTTCTAAAAATATAAATGTGAAAGTAGTAAAACGATTCATTGTGATACATTGCCGCCAAAAACAATTGGCACATTTCGTTCTCTTTCAAAACACAAAACACGGAACATTTGTACAGGAAGTGTCTTTTTTCTGATATTTCTCGAATGAAGGAATGTGGTTGGAACGCATCGATTTCCATGTTTACATAAAACATATGAAATAATTTCAAATTTTGTGGGTTGTCGTCTCATACCTAAACATACCAAATGGTTCAAATATGTGCCAGATAATTATAATAGACGTTAAAAGCCAAATTGTGTGAGCCAGTACTGTTACAACAGAGAACAATAGATTGCCAAAAGTTTCACGTGTCATGGAAGTGATAGAACAGGATCGTGTCATTTTTCCAAGGGTGTAACAAGTGTTGCAGGTGAGATCCATGTAGCATTTTTCTTAAATGAATTTTGGTACGAGTGGCCTAGTGCTATTTTTAGCGCATTTTCCAAAAGGAAAAATTTTTCCCACACTAAATAACACAAAATCACGTTTTTTGGCAGATTACCTGCACGTGAAGTTTCACGTTTCTGATACATAGGATACATCACAGGGCCGATATCCAAAATTATTGAGTAAAATTGATTCAAAACTCTCAGCAACTCAAACGTCCAATATTAAAACTCACCAATAATTATAATTCGAAAAAATTAATTACTGAATCTCACAAAGATCTTCAAGTAAAATATTATTTCGGGCAAAGACCGTGAATAATACAGGACGCTGACACCGGAAATGAGCTCAATTTCTGACCAAACAACCTAAAAAAAATCGAATTCCCAAGTCACAGTTGCCGGTGCAAGCTTAGGTTCTGACGCCGCGGTCATTTTCATAGAAGCAGCATTGTCAAATGTTCTGAACGCCATTTTATACCGAGCTCCACGTCCCATTTGAAAGAAGAAGGACAGATGTCATTGGAATGCATAATCAACTGTTTCACTTTATCTACCCTTTGTAGGGTTGACAATTCCATTTCACTAGGGTTGCGCATTTTTTATAAAGTTGACCATTTCAAGTAGGGACAAACTTCGAGACGTTAAAACAAATTAAAGGAGTTTTTTTTATTAATTACATCCTTCCTAGACGTCGTAAAAATACGAGACCGGTGTCAAAATTCAGGTTAATTAAGAGCGCTTCTTTTGAAATTAGGCCCAGCTCAATGGGACGGTTTTTCTGTAACCCATTTAAGTATCAATCGTTAATTATGCTTACTTAATTGAGTGCATCCCAACTCCAATAATAGTCAATCCAATTAACACTCGTTCAATTGGAATTTAAGTGCAATCGGCGAGAAATCAAGATACCATACTGCATGGAATGTAAAATCGATTGTCAATTTCCTAATGCAGCTGACATCTTAAATATTAGACCGGCGTCATTTTCCCCATGCCAAAGGCTGTCGGATATTACAAAACTAATTTACAACGGGGACAATTTGAAAACGGATGAAATAGGTACGGCATTATCTTTATCTAAATATGTTCAGAACTATGGTCTGCGTAACAAAGCGTTTCCACGTCGAGTTTGTATATTGGGTGTTCCTCAACGCAGGTAGCTTCAAGGCGGAAACATTGCCTTACCACGTGTTTGAGCACGTGCCACTTTTTGATTTTAAGTATATTTGAATAGGATTTGATTAGTTTTTAGAGGAAATAGCCATTCGGGTGGCCATTTTTAAATTTGCCGGGTTGATTTTATTTCCGTGTTTTTGTAGTGTAAAGTTAGCGTAGAATGTGAGGGTTAAGTACACTAAGTACAGGCTAATTAGAGCGTAATGATATTTTGTAAAAAATATTGCTTAGGTACTCATTAGCAAGGATTTCGTTTTTTAATTTAATTTCGATTTATTTTAGTCAGTGAGGATTTCCCTGTAAATGGGTTTAAATTCATTAGTCGTAAGGTTATTAGTAAGAAAATACAAGCGCATTTTTCATTTGTGATAGTTATTCAAATAGTGGTAAGTAGTTAGGAAAAAGCGTGACCACGATATAGAATTTCTTATATCAGAATTCAGAGTAAGAATAAACTGTTCAAACACATATAGACAACAAGCGACAAACACAGACGGACGGACAGACCGCCCAAATGACTAAAATGCAATCGGTTAGTCCCTTGCCCATTGTCTACCTATTACTGAAAACAGAATTGGAAAATTCGAATCCGTTCGCGAGTTATCATGTACACAGACGGAAGAACAAGATACGAAGAATCGCATACGATTTTCAGTAGGGGAATTTTTTGCCATTCAGCTCGCATTCGAGAACCAGACTTTTAATCCGGCTCATATTCAATAGCACTGATCCTTGAACTTGTAGAAATCGATTGTCGAAAGTTTCACATCACTACCTCTTTTCGTTCTCGAGTTAGACGAGAAACAGACGGACAAAACCATCACATAATGGGATTTTTTATCTTTCGAAAAATTCCTCTAAACAGACGAACGGACAGGCGAACAGAAAGTCCAAAATCATGAACGAGCTGGGTCGCCCGTTAATAATTACGTTATGAATAGAAAAAGTATTAAGTGCAGTGGAAGTTGGACAATGCGAGCCATTGCACGAGATATACGTCAAAAGTACACAGTATAAGACATATCTTCACAATTTAAAATATTAGGGCACGTACTATTTATTGTCTTCTGATGAGAAAATCAAAAATAAAAAACTAAAAAGTTAATTCTCGAGTAAGAAGGGAAAAGAGATATTCTCATTATAGTTATTTACATAAAAGTCAGGAAAATGATACATTACATCAAGTATAATGACATTTTACTGACGAGTTTTGTATTAAATTTTACCCGAAATTGTATTTTAATATAAAATTTCGATTTTGATATAGAACTTTTGATTAATGTCAATCTGTCAGTGAGGACAGGACTCATTATAGACATTTGTAAATGTCTCAAATGCGGCCGATAAAGTGACAGTGCGACCGGTAAAGTGACAGGTGCGTACAGTAAAGTGACAAAGCGGCAGGAAACGTAGTCTGCTCTGCCTCTGTCATGGAAACTAAAATTTACTGACAGAGATAGTATAGGTATGAAAATTAAGGTTTCAGGACGCTAAAATGGGACACCCTGTATATTCAAAAATAATTTATATAGATGCGCAATACCATCTATAGGTGACTTGCACACAGCGTTTTATTATATTTTTGAAGAGGTATGAGCATTGTTTAAATACTTTAAACAATGGTATGGGCTGGGAAAGACAGACGCACTGTTCCAAGACGCTGTATAAACTAGTATTTATATTGTCATTGTGGAGCCATTAGAAAGTCGCGACTCTGGACTGTAGCCTTCTCCTCTCATCCATCAGTGCATCACACCCCTTAAAAAATCCTGAGCGGTATTACAATATGTCTCATATATTTGCTTACCTCTTTTTTTTTGTAGCTACTCAAGTAGTCAATGTTTATCAAAAGTTATACAAAATGCTTTCCATTATACCAATATACTCTTTGATTATACCAATCCCTACTCCTTTTTGAAAGTTTCACTGTATATTAAACATGGTGGAAAAATTAAAGTAGAATCAATACAAGAAAAAACAAGAATACTTTATTAAAATCTGTGTAAAAACAAATAAAAAGATACATTCTGATATGTTGCTAAGTACCCTGGATCCCCATAATTGGGCACTGTACTTTTAAAAGCATTGAGCCTACAAGCTTGTATAAAAATATAGTGAAACATGTCAAATATTTAATGCCCTACTGACAAAAATGAAAGACATCCAAACATATAAATCATTTTTGTTAGAAAAACCCACTACCACCTAATATCTTAACATTCGAAAACAATAAACAATGCTATACTTTGTTATTAGTTTCTAAATCATTTTCTGTGTAAAAAGTAATTAAATGTTGAACACATAATTTTAGGTTGGGTATAAACCTTTGTATATCACTTAGGACATACTCCTCACAATTGCTCTTGTGCAAAGCTAAACTTTCCAACAATGGGGTTCTTTTAGGAGTCATTCCGGCCAAAAACTAAAAATTGGCAATCGGTACACAAACATAATGGACATTGGGAATAGCATACATTAAACAAACTTTTTGTAATCCAGCCATGATACATTTTTAATGTATTGGAATACGCCTCTCTAACAAAAGCACCAAGGTCTTCTTGCTTTGATTCATCTGTACACAGAAGCTCAAAAAATGCTATCAAAAAATTAAGTGCTCTATAAGACAAAGTTTCATTAGTATGTTAGCAATTAGACATTGCTGTACCGTCTTAACCACATTAGTGCATCAGTGGCAAGTTGCTTCCCTTCAACTCTTTCGGCTAGTACCATGTCCTCTAAGTACTCATATTTATCACAGTCATCTTGGTACACATTAGTGATTTTCTATTAAAAACACCCGTGTTAGATCGACACTTCAGAAGCGGTGCAGAAACTTACTGCTATGTTCCCAGATATATCGTAAATTGCAGGTGCAAAGCTTTTGCCCAGCAGATCTGCAAATCGAACAGAGTATTTTTGAAGCAATTAAATGTTAGACGAACCAATTAGCTTTAGAAAATCTGAACAGGCTGAAAGGAACTCCATGGTTTTTATTTTGGAATTTTCTTTTTCGGGTACAGGAAATGTGATCCTGTGTACAGTGAGGTAGGTGTCCATAATTTCGGAGATTTATTTGATCATTATGCTTTACAAATTAAACTGTGATTAATATTTCAGGTTCCTTCTTTTTTTTAATCATTGTGTATTTAGTATTTTATAGATTAAGTTAATTAAAGCACAGTCTAGGTCACAGAAGTCTAGGTCTAGACTGTGATTAAAGTTTATAACAGGTCAGGACAGGACTCTGGAACGGATTCAAATGTTTGAATGTGTAGGCAGCACATCATACTCTACAAATCGAATTAGATACGTCCGCCCCTCTAGATCCTGTAGTGCTCTGCGAATGACTTTCGTGGGGTAGAGACGATGGTATTTTTTTTTCATAATCACACGATGTTTTATGTCCTGGATAGACGGCAACCTTAAGCTGCTCTTAGACAAAAATGATACCTACTATTGTAATCAAATACAGAGTATTTTTGATTGTTCAAAAATGATTGCAGAGAAGTTAATTTGGTTCTTTCTGTGCCACCAATTTTTTGAAGAGATTGTAGCACTGTGCAACATTAGACATCAACAAAAGAGGTGTTTAACTTGCCCAATGTATGTAATATTTGTTCTTTTTTGTACCGAATTGCACATCACAGTGCTCACGTTTATTTTAGATCGGGTGGCCTTTTATCAAAAATGCGCGCGATCGAGATTTTGGTGGAAAACTCTATAAGACTCCGCTAGTTTAGACATGATAGCTTGAAGCAGTTGTTTTTATCTCGTTTGTGCTTAGCAAAGGTAGAGGGAGTAATAAAAGTACGTACACTTCTTATCATTTAACAGTGTGGTTTGATTCAAATACGACAGATTTCTATATTATATTATGAAATGTGAATATCTAATCTAGCGATAGATTACGATTTACTTTATTATCTATTTTTCTGTATAAATGTATAATAAATACACACACGATGTGTAATCTTATCATTTTCCTAAAATCAAAATCGAACTATTGTGTTCTTAATTTAATCTCTGGAGATAAGTACACTTATCCTAAAGATGTTTTACCGAGTTGGTTAATACCAAGTGTAATCGTCATTGTTTTATAAATTATTTATAATTCATCTCGTGACCATTGCTTAGAATTGTGTCGAAAGTAACCTTAATACGACTCTGTATTCAAAACAGATGACTAAACATTTTACAGTATCGTTCACTGCATTATCGACGGTACACGATAATAAAGTGTCAATTTTTACACTTGACGATTGCCCAAAAGTCACATTTCGCAAATTTTTTGGTATTAAAATTCGGAAATGAAATGTCGTTCCGTACCAAAGTGTTGGGTTTAATCGAAGTGTTCCTTCGAGTACCGCCAATATTTGTAATTGACGAGATATTTAAAATTGGTTTGGGTCTATCCGATTTGACAGAGTATGATATAACAGAATTAGAAGAAAATCCTTCTAATTATACCGTAACTATTAATTACGATCCTACATTTTACAAACTAGTGCTTATTTCTCTGGCTAGATTGTCACTCAGTACCTTAGGTAAAGGTGAGGGACCAGGCCAACTGTGTTATTGTATGTTTATTTTTAGGATGTGCCATTGCATTGTGTTTGTTTGTTCTCAACACAAAACACCTGATGATGGTGTATATGTACTTTATGTCGTTGGGTGTAGTGTTCGTATCCTACTGGGCAAACTTGAGTACAATGAAAACTGTCATCTCTGCACTTGAGGAATCTCACCAGACATATCCTAGTGTTTTAGAAGACGTATTGGCTTTGAATTTCAACCGAATTCTGGATCCAGCCGGTTACGCATTGGCTATTGTGCAAAACTACTTACTACAATGCTTACTGACCTTCATTTTTATGAATATACATCTGGGACCAAGGTACACCTTTTTGCAGAAGCTCTTACCGATTTCGTTTATCGCGCCATCAGTACTGGCAGTACTACCTTTACCAAACTATGTATTGACACATGCACCTGTATTCGCAGCCTTATTACCGTTAGCCTTGGTCAAGTTTGTTCTATGGATGTCTCTGCTAACGATAATGCAGACAATCTACAACGGATATTTGGATGCGCGCAATTTCATATCCAACTTTGGAATGTCTGCTTTAGTTGAAGCGGAATGGATTAGATTGAGTGTCCCTGAGGTGCTACGCACCTTCTGGATTCTACGTGTTCTGGAGCACGCGGCCATATTCTTTCTTAACGGCATGTGGAATCAGACAGACGATTTTACACCAATCTTTCGGCTTCTAAAGAATCTGATGGTGACCGGTTGCGATACACTCACTGCCGTTTTGGGAATAACAAGCGTAGTCTCATACATATGCCACTACATCGGCCGAATGTTTCAATGGGTTATGCTTACTGAGGACGAAAATGACAAGAATATCGGTACGGTATCAGCAATTCTGTTCTATATCCTGGCCTTACAAACCGGTTTAACCGGTTTGGAACCAGAAAAACGGTTTGTAAGGCTATGTCGAAACTTCTGTTTGTTGTTTACCGCGTTGTTGCATTTCATTCATAACATTGTGAATCCATTGCTTATGAGCTTGAGCGCCTCTCACAATCCATCTCTGAAAAGGCATCTTCGAGCACTGACAGTATGCGCATTCCTAGTGTTGTTCCCAATTATGTTACTCATTTACTTATGGTCTCATCACGGAGTTTCCACATGGCTTCTGGCGGTAACAGCCTTCAGCCTCGAGGTTATTGTTAAAGTCGCAGTGTCTCTTGCCATTTACACTTTGTTCTTGCTTGATGCTAGACGTGAGACCTTTTGGGAAGGACTAGATGACTACGTTTATTACATTAGGGCGTTCGGGAATACGATAGAATTTTGTTTCGGTATCTTCCTATTCTTCAATGGAGCATGGATATTAATCTTCGAAAGCGGGGGAGCTATTAGGGCTGTGATGATGTGTATTCATGCATATTTCAACATTTGGTGCGATGCCAGAGCCGGCTGGTCGGTTTTCATGAAACGACGCACTGCCGTTCACAAGATTGAGAGTTTGCCAGAGGCGGACGAAGAGCAACTACGGCGATTAGATGACGTTTGCGCCATATGCTATCAAGAAATGAAATCTGCAAAGATCACCCGGTGCAAGCACTTTTTCCACGGGGTATGTCTGCGTAAATGGCTCTACGTCCAAGACCGTTGTCCGCTTTGCCATGACATTTTGCATAGCGTTGACTGTGAGGATTCGAAAGAAAACGGGGCAGCTCAAATTGCACAAGCTGTAAACGAAGATGAAACTAATTATAATAGGTGATAAATTGATTTAAATGTGATTATTGTACATAAACGTAAACGCTAGGGGTGGACTTTGACATTTAATAATTTTTATTTAATAAGTAGAGTTAAGAATTTCAAATTTATGTGATTACTCCCATTTATTTTTTATATTTTGCAATTGAAAACACAACTTCTCTTGCCTACACAGTTTCAAAACAATATATTTAATTAAGGATAAATTATATTGGTTCATAGATGAAACGTAGACAAATGATAAGAGAAAATTGTGTGGTGATATACCAAACTCCTTGAGGATTGTCGCATTAATTCCTATAATTGAAGCACTATTGACTGCGTAAGTTATTTTTCTATTTGTTATGTATAGGCATGATACAAAGATTTTTATTTATGTGCATAAGTTATTTAAGTACCCATGCATTCCCTTTCATTGTATATAATGTTTCAATTATTACACAAAAAGTTTATTGCATACCGAACTTAATAAAATGTGTAAGTTTTTATTATTTTCTTTGTTTCTTTTTTGTAGTTACTAACAATTGAGGAATGGGGGAACTTTCTTTTATGGACCACATATATTTTGAATCATATGCACTAATCAAAACACAGTGGTAAAGCAGCAAACCCCCTCACATTTGTGGGAAATGCGCACGCACACTCCTTCGACGCTTAAGCAAAGAGCCTTTTCTCTTTCTCGGCTAAGGTCTTTGGCGGCTATACCACTTTCGTATTCTTCCGCCTCACCCATAACTCGGGAAGGAAGGAATAAAAGAAGCAGACTCGCCTTGGGATGGATCAAGTTAGGGAGTTGAGTTGGTACAAGTTAAAAGGGATGCGCAGACAATGGCAGATAGAGTAACAAACTCTGAGTAAGAGTGTTTTTACACTTTTTCCGCCTAAGGGCCATGCCACTTTTCCGCTTTTACCAAATTATGGTTTGAGTTGGGCGCAGTGCAGGATTAACCATTAAGCAGAGTAGGCAACTGCCTAGGGGACCCGCGTCGAGTGAAAAATTTTAGTGAAAATTTGAAAATAATGGAATCTTAGAAATATAAAATATTTAGTTCGCTGCACCCCACATTTAAATGTATGGTACATAAGTGTACTTCTTTGTGGTTCCATACGGCATTCGTATTGCATTTTTAATATAAAAATTTCGGATGTTACTATTTCCTGTCAGCGTGTCCTTATATACGAAAAGTACGGACGCTAAACTTATAACGCCGCTTTTTTTGTCGCGGGCTAAAAAAATACGCATAATTGTCTCATTTGTTTTTGTTATGAATTAGTCAGGGAGACATTTCTGAAAAGTGCATGTCTAACGGCGTTTTGTGCTACAAACTGGCAACAGGCGGTTCTAGACTAAAGCCGGATTTATAGTTCCGTAGCCGTAAGAACGTAAAAACGAAACCGTAAAATCTTACGTTAACGAAAATTATACGATTTATAGTTACCGTAGTGGTAAGAGATGAGCTTGCGCCACGAACTTATGTCATCTGTCAGTAAAAGTAACGTGCATTTCAAAATAATAATAACCAACAAAGTGTCAATAATTATTGTAAATAAACGAAACGAACGTCAGGATAAACTCAACTGTTTGAATTATCCGAGTACTTCCGACGACAAACGCGTTAGCACGATTTACCGTAAGAAATGAGATTTGGGCATTTCCTACGTACCGTAACCGTTCTAACGCAACGTTAACGCGAACTATAAATGTTTACACGCAACAAGTAGGGTTTAATTCTAAACGTTACGGTACGGCGTTGCGGGTACGGAACTATAAATTCAGCTTAATTGTCCCCCGCTGAAAACGATGCGCCCTGTTGCCAGACCCGATTTTGGCATTTAAGCCCTTAAATCCAAGATGGCGGGCGAAATTACCGTTTTTCGGTTATTTCGAGACCACAAGGCACGCCACTGAACGTTTTGGGTAGTTTAAGGGTAGAATATGATCTAGTACACACGTCGACATCGTTTAGGCACACTTTCGTATTCATATTAGGGGCCTAAATGCCAAAACTCCGTTTAAAAACGTCAAAAATGCAAAAATTCGTCATTTTTTCTTCTGGCCGGTTGTCGGCGTCCAATATGTATTCATATGGTAAAGTTAACATTTAAGTATGTGGGGACCTCCAGCAGCGCCATATGCCTGGGGCCTAAATATCAAGATGGCGCCTGGGAAGTCCAAAAAACTGTGAAAAAGTCGTTCTTTTTGCCGTATTTTTATTACACTGGCCACACATTCACCATTTCGATGGCCTGGAGCCATAATATGAGAATTGCGAATATAATTCTGGATGTTACACAACTGAAGGGCTTATAACTGCGGAAGTGGGGACTCGTCTCCTATAAACTTTAACTATGGAACCAAACCAAGAGGCAGAAAGTTGGTTTGGCGGCGTAATTTGAGGGCAAATATATTAAAACATGCTGCCCAAGTTTTCTTTGATTTTTTTAAATTAAAACGTAACACTTGGCAGTCGAAACTGTTTAGAATATTGAGCACTAATACTATGAAGAAGGTATTATGCAAGAATAAGAACGTTACAGAGTTAAACGTTGTCTCCTGAAGCACTAATGTTTTCTCTCTGGATTGTTTTTGGCAGATTACACATAGACTAGGTACTGTTAAAATCACCACCAAAGGATGATTCATGCTGCATGGCCTAGGGAAAACTGAAACAGTCAAATGGAAGTCATCACCGCGAAAGAAGACATCAGCACCGGAAATTACAGAATAAAACTTGTTAAAATATTTTAGAAGTACACAATGCAAAATTTAAAAGGCAGCATGGGGAAAAACGATGACAATTAAACAATAACATTAAAAAATATCTTCATTGAATGTAATCTTAGTTACATGATGTAAAATTAATTGACTTTTAATATTAAATGAAATACGGGGCGTAGATGGAAGACGCCATCAAAGCGACACAGACGAACTTCAGGAGCGGTGCCGACGAAGATGCACAACAACACGCGAGTGCACTGATTGATAGTTTCGCGAATCCGTTCGGTTGGAGATGATAATTCCACCCCCCTCTCGTGGGGGTGTATTACGTCCGGGGTGGCAGTCGCAATTACTCATAATATAATGTTCCAGAACACCAAAATGAACAGCGAACGTATATAGTGGCCAGTTTAGTAAAACTACGGCAAAAAGAATGACCTTTTCACTGTTTTTGGACTTTCCAGGCGCCATCTTGATATTTAGGCCCCAGGCATATGGCGCTGCTGGAGGTCCCCACATACCTAAATGTTACCTTGACAATATGAATACATATTAGACGCCGACAACCGGTCAGAAAAAAAAAGATGAATTTTTGCATTTTTGACGTTTTTAAGCGGAGTTTAGGCATTTACGCCCTTAATATGAATACGAAAGTGTGCCTAAACGGTGCCGTCGTCTGTACTAGATGTTATTCTACCCTTAAACTACCCAAAACGTTCAGTGGCTGTCTTGTGGGCTCGAAATAACCGAAAAAACGGCAATTTTGGCCGCCATCTTGGATTTAAGGGCTTAAATGTCAAAATCGAGTCTGGCAACAGGGTGCATCGTTATCAGCGGAGGCAAATTAGTCTAGAACCGCCTGTTGCCAGTTTGTAGCACAAAACGCCGTTAGAGATGATTTAGAGAGCCTTTTTCAGAAATGTCTCCCTGACTAAATATAATACAAATAGTGAAGTGAATGAAAGGGGGGCCCCGGCCCTCGAGGGTTGCATTGTCTAGGGTCCCTGGCAGAGTTAATCCGGCACTGGTTGGATGTCATCACTTCACTCAAGGAAACCAAGTGTATTCTATCACAGACAACATATAACTTGTCTGATGTAATTCTATGTAAGAAAAGTCGCTGAATAATTCCTGGTCGGGAACGCCCGGGATATTGTTATTATTATAAATAAAAAACGAAAGCAAACGGGATACCTAATGTCGTTTTTTTCGCATTTGACTTCGAATATCTCGCTGAGGGAAAAGTGAATAGAAATGAATTTGTTAAAATCGGTTCGGGACAAATATTATTTTTTAAATAAAAAATGTAAAAAAGTAATCTCGAAGATTAACAATTTGTTATTACTAAGTACAATTCATCCGATCTTTTTGAAAATTCGTATTTGGTAACTTTTGATAACAAAACGATATGCGAAACTCGATCATCATAGGTTTTATAGTTATTGCCATTGAATAAGATTACGTATTCAATGTTATTGCATAATTAAACAAATAAATTTAAAAAACCGTGCTTTATCTTTTGGGTGACTCCCAGAGCGTTCTCAATTTTTTTGCACATAGCATAGACTAAAAAAACCCATTAGTCCATGCACATAGTGAAGGATATTGGTTTGGTTTCAAAACAATTTACTAAATACGGATTTTTAAACGTTATAATCAAAGTAGTATCCGTATCCTAACATCCTCAAATTCCAGAAATGCGGTGTTTTATTAGGGGGAAACATTTATTAGCGTTTATCAATTATCATTATGCGTCATTGATTGCCGTCAGTATTTAAAATCCACAAAATTGTATCCTTGCGGTATCTGTCGTTCAAAAATAATTATAATTTCTGTGCAGTAATGCAGTAATTGCATTTCTATTATCCAGTTTTCTGTAAAAAAGAGAGTGTTTGAATATACCGACTTGATTTTGGTATCGAAAGCATATAGCTCCCTTTTTTCCGTAAATAATGTTATGATTGCCCCATCTATTGCCATAATTTCGTGCACCCTTAAGAACAGGTAGATGCAGCTACACTAACACAAATACGCTTGCTACATTTGACTACCGCTCGTAAGATGGCACTACGCGTGTGGCTCGCTTAAATATATATTTAGGAACAACATTATTGCCTTTCCATTCTAACTCAAACGGTACGTTTTTCTTCTAATAAAGATCCGATCCCGTCATGGGTTACTGTAATTTTCATTACAAATTCCAATGGGAACTTTCAGTCAATTCATTTTAATAACATAGCAAAAAAACTTCTACCATCAAATTAACCCACATTCACCTTTAGTCCAGGCTAAATAGCTCTAAAATGATTTATTTTCAAAAAAAATAGTTACTGGGCGAAACCGGGTTTTTCAGGCAGGTGAAATGAATAGAAATTGGGAAAAAATAATTAAAACAGCTGAATTTT